TTGTTTCTACTAGCTTCTTGTTACTACTAGTAAGGCACTTGTTACTAGTGGATTCCAGTCTTTTCACGTCTGATTTGACATCATTTTTTGGTTGACGAACAATGTAAACGTCTTTTGAGGGATCTCCACACTCTCAGTCAAGGCAGGCCTCTTCGTCGGTTTCATCGCGGAACAACAAGCCTCGCTGAGACATGCCCCTGACTCGACAACAGGGCTTGCAGGCGTTGTCATTAATTGCCAACTTGGCAGATGTCATCCAGGAAAATGAGATGGCTATGGCCATGGGTGGAAAATAGGAAGCTGCTTCATCCCAAAGATGGTCCCTTGGTCCTCAAGGAATGAGCCCAAACAAAGCACTTTCGTGAAAGTGCGGCTATTTCGTCAGAAAGTGCGGCACGCAAACAGGCTTGGAGGAAAATGGTTGCCGCACTTGTGAGTCATGAGAAGGACTCCTTACTCCTTGTGAGAGTTGCCAACACGCTCTGTTTCACAGCATGGACATGATATCACAAGACACGTGAACTTGTTAAGTGACGTTGCTCATCAGTTGCTCCATAGGCATCCAGCTCAAAGGCCAAAGGTATCCATGGAGTTTTTTGTGGCATATATTATATGGGTGTGTATTTTACTAGAGAGACCCCCAACTAATGGGTAGACTAGTCTATTTCCCTTCTTCTTGCAGGCGGTCGAACTGGGAGGTCTCCCTGCCCTATTCTAATACACACCGGAACCATATATGTGGCTGAGCAAGGAGGGTCTTGCTCACAGCCAAACATCACAGCCCGGGCACATCGCAGGCATCTCCAGGCAGTCGCCACCACAACAGCATCCACGTGCTGCAGGAAGGGAGTGATCTGGGCCAACAAACAAAAAACACTGGATAGACATGGGTGGCATGGCCCTGAAAGTAGAGGAGAATAGTCTTGAGAAGGTCGTTTTCCATGACTATCAGTAGTGGATCTTGTTGATTATTGATTCTTGTCATGGCACATATCATCCAAATATCTACTACTGTTTGATTTCGGACTTTCTTCAAGATTCAAGATTCACATTGTTTGTTTAGTCTCACTATGTTCCCAAGGCCACTAGTGTGTGAATTCATGTTGCGATCTGTGGGGAGTGGTGACATCCAACATGTTTCAACCCAAAAAGTCGTCGCATTAAACCTGATACCTCAAGCCCTGTTCTTGAGAATGTTCAGGTGCAGCACGGGATGGTCAGGCTTGAACCTTTGGCTTAGGCCCAGCTGATGAGATCTCAAGGTGAACAAAAGCTGGGCGATGACGGATAAGATTTGATATACAACTATGGCAATGGCCGATTACAAAATAAAGCATGCTAAAAGCATCTAAAAGCAAAAAACATCTAAAAACAGTGTGGCCCTCACCACGAAAACTCCTTGCACGTCTTCAGCGAGTAGTTGCCCAAAAATCCCAGATTGCTGTACAGTGCAGAAACCCAAGATGTGCAGATCTATATCAATTTACTGCAAGACCACCCCACCCCAAGATAAACCCAAACAAACCCTTTAAAGGACTATGTTGTGCTCAAGATTTTAAGAAGATCAGCTGGGTTGAATCTTGAATTCTCTATGAACTCGACGCCAGGACCCTGTGACCGGGGGTCAAAAATGGACCAAACCACTACCGGAATCTTCCCACTAACCCAGTGACCGGGGCCCATGCTGAGCGCGCGCTGACTTGATCCTAGCAGCATAGGCCACGGCTTCGGGAGGAGCAAGATCAGCTGCCAACCACAGCCTCAATCGCTGAATCATATGTCGATCATTACTCCAAGCCAGATTGGAAAAAACAACTTGGCTTTGGCCCCAGATGAAAACCCAACAGTGGATATTCATCCCCACATTCCGGTTTAAAGCCACTGCCTTTTGCGCTAGCTTGTTGAACTCGGATGGGCGATGTCAGCAGTTGAGACTTGGGGAGAGGGACACCCATACCTGACAGAAAAACAATATACACCAAAATCCATTGGTTTGGGGAACCCCCTATTGAATTGGAATACACACCCATGCCCATATCAACATGTTTCTCTCTTTCTCTCTCTCTTTAACAAGCCTTGACCCTTCCGCATTCAGAAGACACCCCCATTCCGGACTCATCCGACTTTGGCAACTTTTCTTCTTGAGAGTCGGTGACTTGCAATTGCTGGCGACATCCATTGCTTTGTAAGTCCAAGAACCCTCCCAGCCCAACCACCCAAACTCCCATCTGAGTGGCAGCCACTGATCCACTATGCAGCTCTGCAGCTCAAACGACACATGAAACGAGCTATGTGCGAAGTCATATCTAACGAGCCCATGAGTTGAAACCTTAAACTTCAGCCCAGGGACGCACATCGAATCTCTTGTGCGTTCCGCCACGTGGTGGTGTTCTGCCGCGCGGACAAAAGCTCCAAAAGGACCTGACGAGGCCACTATGGCAGGCCTGATGGGGACCCCATCAGGGTCTTAGCCACAAATAGCCTATCAAAATTTGGGGTAGGACTGTCAGGCTCATCGAATCAGCGCTCTAAGGTCTTCTGGAATAAATACCGGCTTGGAAAAAAACATAGAAATGCAACACAATCAGTTGGTGGGCCCAAAACATTGAGGATTCAAACCTCTCTCATATATTCTTATATTGTATACTGTAGATTGGGTCAGCACCCTGCCCTGACAGCCCCAGCAACATTAAGGGGATCATTGGTTCTTTCCTCAGTGCAACCACTCACGCTCTCCCAGCCGCATCATTCTGGCCTCCCCAAAGTGCCGCCCCTGCCAAAAAGTGCCGGACATCAAGTGACCAAGTTGGATGATGCCATGTCTAGGCCGCATCAATCAGGGGGGACCCCTGGCCGATTTGGTTTCCATCTACTTATCCCATTAACGATTATATAATGCATTATAATGCGTATATACTTATTATGTATTAATATTAGAGAGCTCGTCACTGTGAGCGTGCACTTTTTTAAGCATTTCAAGCTGCCAAATCTTGCTGTCTAAAGTTTTCAGCTCATACCAAAGCCAAAACTTCTCATGTGGACTTCCAACAAACAACAATATTTCAATAGAGATTCTATAGCAATCTTACTGATATGCACTAGTGTGTTTAATTAATAGCAACCCACCAAATAGAAGGATTTACATAGCAAAAATATTGATATTCTACAGAACTTGTCCCATGAGATTAGATCTACAGATGGTCCCTCAGCTTTCTTCACTTCTTGTACTTCATGGACTTGCCCTTCATGACCATCTTGTTGCCAGACGAGGGTTTGCCAATTGCATTCTTCGTGTTGGACTTCTTGCCACATAGGTATGAGACAGACTTTGCATTCTTGAAGAGGTTTGGCAGCCGAGTTGGATGCAAATACCGAATGTTGCCACCCTCAATGGACTCGTTGTGACGCTTGGACAGAAGCAACAAGAAGAATTTGTGCCGGTGGGCTCGCATCTCATTGATGATAGGGGAAAAGTTGCGGAACCACGAGAAGACCTGTTCGCAGATCGAAGTGTTCTCTTTGTGAATGCGCTTCTCCAGCTTCTTGCGGTAGCCTAGGTAGGCTTGACTTAAAGTAAATACGAAACTATACAAAACGACACATTCATAAGGACTAATGCAACAACATGTGCCTCAATAAACTTGCAAAAAATGATTGTGGTCGTCTCGATAGAACAGAATCCATATTGATTGACTTGGTGTTGAAACAAACAGACAGGACACGAGGATTGCAAGGGCAGGTTCGCGAATGACCATGAGAATGAAAACCATCCACGACATAGTAGCCGATCTGATTCAAGGCCTCATTCGACTCCCCACATGACTTGAAAGCGCATGCTCTGTCGTAGACAAGGCAATCCAGTTTCGGGTACAACCAGATGACGTTCTCCACAGCCAGAGTTGCGACCTGGTTGCCTTCAGGCTCATGCATGACCTGCAAGCTGATGATGCGACCGGACTTCGGATCACACGCAAGCATCCAGCCATTGGTGTAGTGCCCGGTGGTGTGCTCAGACTTCCTAGGACGGCCTGCGCGCTTCATTGGCGCCATATCACACTGCATCTTCAGCTTCTGGTTTCCATCAAGGACTAAGGTCTTCACCTGCTGACGCTTGTGTGGAGGAAAGGTAGATGAGTGGCAAAAGGAATCGTAGAGGTCAAGATGGGTATCTTGGATCTCCTGTTCGATCATGATATCCTGATTCAAGCCCAACAACTCGAACTCCCTCACAGCCATGTAGTAGAACAACGCAGACGCATGCAGCTTGTCAAAGTTCTGAAGGATTGACTCTTGGGAATCTCCGTGGACAACGTGGTAAGCGCACGACACAGCAGCACTTGAGAGATGACCACGGAACAGAAGTTCTTCATGATACTGGATGTATTTCAAAGAAAAGGCCTTCTTCGAGTTCACAAACAGAATGTTGTCCTGAAAATCCTTTGTTTCAGCACCTTCTTGCCTGCTTCCCAGCGATAGTTGTAGCCATAAGAAGCGCGGCAAGAACGGGAAGTACAGTTCTTCTGCACGTGGACGATTTTTCGAGGACCATCTAAATCGTACAGCAAGGCATCGACGGACAAATGGTAGATGAGGGAACCAGAACAACCTTCACAGACACACTTGCTCAGAGGACATGTGAAAGTCTGCGGACTAGAACCTCCCACAGCATCTAAGGTCACTAATGCTGAGTAGGATTGTTTTCGCAAGTAGTAGAAGGTGTACTGGTCAGATGACAACATGTCCATTGCCACACCAGCAGACACCACTGAGGTGACATCACCATCCTTCTTGAGGAGCAAACCTTCTCGATGCTGCAAGGCAAAGAAGTGCTTCATGTCCTTGTCATGCACGATGTAGCTGCCATCCGGCAAAGACTTTCGACAATGCTTCTGACACAGTTGGACGCCAAAGGGAAGTAGCAGACTATTGCCGTAGGAAACTGAGAATGGGCCATCTTGATCGCAAACCACCGGAAGACCAATATTTTGCATGGCCATGATCAAGCACACATCTTTGAAGCCATTCTGGCAGCCAGGACCTCCATATTCTAAGTCAGGAGCAGCACCAACGCGAGGCATCGGATCTTCGTCATCAGAGGGAGGATGAAGTCCAGGCAAAGTGTCCGGATTGGGAATGTCTTCTGTCCTTCTCTGTCTCTTGTGTGGTGGCGGGGAAGGTGTGTCCAAGACAATGGGTTCACTAGAGGTAAAGGCAAGGCTCTGGAACTTCAAGGAAGGCTCTTCCTTAACGGTCCAACCTGCACTTGCACGATCTGTGTCTACATCCACAGGATCTCCACGTGTCGCTGTGGCCAACCATGCATGCGCATCCGGATGCTCGGCTGGCTCCAACTTGGGTACGCCAACCAAAAGAGCAGGGGCAGGGTGAGGAATTGACAATGAACTCGATGCCGGCCTTGAAGAAGCAGGTGCAGCAGGCAAAGCCCCATCAGCCCGAAGCAACGCATCCAAACCAGGCGTGGAAGTCAAAGGAGTAGCAGGACAAGCTGGCGAAGCAGGACGTACAGGATGATCATGTCGACGGAATAGCTCTTTCAACCATTCAGTCTCCCATGCCACAGATGCGGAATAAGTATCCGGCTGAGGCCCACCATTTTTCCAATTCTTCAGGGTTGGCTTGCAATCTGGAAGAAGAATGTCCTTTGAATCTGAGTTGGTCCAAAAAACACGCTGCATCTTGACATGCTTCTCAGTGGGTGGTCGGAAATAGATGTACTTCTCAGCAAACACGATGAAGGCAGCCCTTTTCAGAATTGCCATAGCATCGGCATTGGCGATGTAGCCCACGGCTGGACGGACCAGCTTCATGAAAGACTCATGGGAGACTTCTGCTGAGAAAACACCATCAACATCGCCTTCTTGACCCTCTGGGTTGTACTGGTTGTCTACGACGATGCGAAGCTGATGCATCACGAACTTCGCTGCTGTCCACCTGCCCAAGAAAATTAATGATTTACATTCAAAGACATGCATGTCAAGGGAAAACACAATATGTGGATTGCACATGTGATGTGACATTGCAGAGCCCGGCCTTTCTTTCAGGATGGTCTCAGAATCTCCCACATCTGAGAACGCCTTTTTCTTTTTGATGGTCTCATTACCGATTTCACCATCGTCAAAAATGGCAGGCGTGGCCTTGTCGAAGAAGATGCCACGAAAGAAATCAAACCCCGGGGCTGACCTGAACTGACCATTTCCTCCATGATATCGCGAAAACATCATGGAAAGAATTCGAGCGAGAGGGGTTTTGTCGACACCGGACTCTCCGAGCAGCCACAGGGAATGTCCACGAAGATGAGGCAAGAGATCTTGCAAGATGGTCAAGATTTCTGGCTGAATGGCTTGGATGGTCAAATCATATCTGTCAGACAATTTGGCCAGACATCCGTCATTAGCAAGACAATCAAGAGCTCTCTGAACCAACTTCTCGTTCCAACCATGGATCGGAGAACCTTCTTTTTGGATGTGGCGATGGAACCAGCGCATCTGCTTCAAGTTCTCCTTGTCTCTCTCACCGTTGCTGATGATGAAGTCCCATCCTGCATCCTGTTCATCTTCTCCTTGAGGGGCACGTGCTTTGTTGGATCGGACCTTCTCCGCGGAAAGAGAGAAGTGACGAAACTGATGCCCACCCAGGCACTCCAACATCCACTGGAAGCCACGGCGAGCTTGCTGTTTGTTGAGGGAGGCCCAAGCAATCTCCTTGCCTTGACCACGCACGAGCTTGGCAACATATGCGCCCTTGACTTTGTCACTCTTGACGTAGTAATGCTTGAGGACACATAGTTTCCCATTGGTTTGTGGAAGCAAACAAAAATGGGACAAGCAAGAGAACGTGGGGCGTTCCTTCAAGGTAAGTGCTTCAGGAAGCTCTTGCCAAGCCTTGTCTCTGATGATGGCTTTCAGATTGTCCATGTCGATCGAGGAGGGCTCGACATCATAGATCAAATCAACGAAGTGCTTGATTGAAGGAGTAGAGTCCGAAAGCCTGAGAAGCATAAGAAAGAATCATGCATAAATATCACATGTGATGGGGTATGGCCTATCGACTTTCGATGACACTTGAAGACAGACAAGAAACTCCTTCAAAGGTAGACAGATCGGAGTGACCGAACCGACCGGTAGAGGGCCAACATGAACATGAGCTGGAAGTTCTCGCAGCGTGAGGTGCTGGGTCGCTGCGATGGCATCGCTCAGGGACATATTATCGCCCTCCACCTCCATGGCCATAGAGTGTTGAAGGGCTCGAAAGATAGCACAGAAGCAAATTGAACGATACAAGGATGACTATGAGCCAGACAGGATGGGCATAGGAAGTTTCTGAAATTGCAAAACTAAAAAAACAAAAAAGAAAACAAACTCATGGCTTGCAGACGGTCTTGGGTCCAAAGGTTTTCTTTTTGGTTTTCCTGAGTGCAGTGTCCAAAACCTGTTGAAAAACAAAAAAACAGACTCATGGATTGCAGAGGGTCTTGGGTTGGTTGGGTTGTTTTTCTTTTTTTTTTGTTTTTTTTTTTGGGTTTTTTTTTTTTTGGTTATGTGACACTGAAGACACTGAAGCATTTAGTAGAATACACTCACTGAAATATAGTGTTTTTGCACTAGTCTACTAGATATGCGAGAATACAGTGAAATATTTAAAGTTTTAGCGCACGCTGGTGGTAACGTGTTCTGTAATATTATATATATGTGTATATGTGTATTAGTATACACATAGTAATGATGGCCTGTCTCTGGGGGGGCCCTCTCGGACAGAGACATCGCCAAGGGCGGACCTGACACCGGATGGGTCAACACCGGACCTTACACACACGGTAAACGTGGTATCAGTAATTGATCATAAACGAAGATGTCTTATAGAAGAGATAGCTAAATGTGCATTAATCAATATCTTTGATATGCTTTGACTTGGACACTGTGTTTACATGTTTACATTGTCGGCGGCATGTGTTTCGTGAAGGTGTTGTTTTGTGTTCTCGTTGCAAGATGATTCCTGAATGATATCATCAAATATCGAACCTTACAACACTATGTTAGCATCTGTGTTTTCCATGTCATTGTCTGTCCGTTTCTATTCTTCGCGACATCTATGCGATTCCTACTTTGGCAACTACTGCACTTCCCGTTGCTCTGCGGGGAACTGGTCAAAGCTTCATGTACCTCTCTGCATGGAGATCCTGTCGCCTCCGCCATCAGCTGAGTCGCTTTTTGTCAGAAGGTGCCAGCAACGATGTGGGCCTTTGTTTCCATCCATCGCATCTGTACTGTACAGTGGCAGAAGTGGGATTTCATAACGCCCCGACCCGTGACGTGAACGTGCAGTGACGTGAACGTATTTCGTCCTGTACAAGCTTGCATTTGAGCCACTGTCAAACCATCTCAAGCACCATCATCGACAAAGGATCTAAAGATTCTTGGGTCATTGAAACGCTAAACCACTCCCTTTGGCGGAGGCTCATCTGTGCCACGGCAGCCTTTTGCCGTGAGCTAGTAATTAGGGATCGGGGCATCATGGCTAGGACCGCTCACGACTGTCCTGTCCAATCGACTGGAGCAGAACACTAGAAGGGTGCCTTGACTTTCTTGGTCGGAGCAGGGAAAGGCTTTCGGAGACCGTTCTTGAAGATCACTGGCTTGTACTCATCAGGAACGCTCTTGTGCATTACGGGGCTATTCCGATAGCGTTCCACGTGAGCTTTGAAGCCCTGGTGGGGACCGCTCCAGGTGACTTCGCAGACCTTGCTCGTGGGCAACGCCCAGGCGGAAAAGCCATGAAAGGTGTTCCACAAGGCATCCACACCAGGGGCGTCCTTGGATTTGCAGCAGCTTGAAACAACATGAAACAACTGTATCACTGTATTGCCCACAAACAAACAAATCCTAAACAATTCCAAGCATCTACCATATTTACGAAGGCATAGCCCAGATTGGCCTTGCGGTGAAAGTCACATGGCAAATACACGAAGTCATAGCTTCCCCGGAAGCCCTCACTGTCCAACATCTCCAGGAACATCTCACGGGTGTAGTTGTTGGGCAAGTTCCGCAACATCACCGTGGTCCGCTCTTTCCGGTAGGACATCCGGTGTCCGGGTTCCGCCACACCTCCACAGGCGGTCTTAACTGGCGCAGTGGTTGGTGTCGGAGGCGCCAGCGGCGCCACGTGCGGCCTGGGAGCAGTTCCCAACTCATAGACCTCAAAAGGATCAGAAGTCAAACGTCTGGGTCATCTGAGTGACTCCAAGTTCAACCAGCCAACCTCCAAAACTGACTGACGTCATCTGTGTGGCGGTCAAAACATGCTAGTCATTCCGCTGCCATGCTATCGCTCTTCAAGGTTCCCTATCGCAACACTCAACTAACAATTCTGGGTGGTTCCCTTAGAAGTCCCCCATGTAAGCCATTGTTTCAGCAAATTACAAAATATTACAAAGGCCTTTGACAATCTCTTTGCTACGTGGCTTGAGGAAACGCTACCATAGCGTGAATTGTGGCTCTACACATGGGAAGGTGGCTAGGCCTGGACTTCTGAGGCATCGCTCCAGGTATCGTTTGGTATTGGTTTGGGTATCGCTCTAAAAGCCACGTTCTTTGGGAGTAAGCGTATTCCTGGCACAGGTATCGCTCTTCAGGGTTCCCTATCGCTACACACAGTGATTGCAAAGTTTTACCAAGTCAATGGCGGTTCACCTCCCAAACTCTTCAGAGGATGCTCGCCCTGACTCTGGCAAGTCTTGAGGAAACCCCACTCCCTCTCGAGTTCAAGTCATGAATAGAATGGCCCGAACAGGTTTGACCATGCAGTTCGCCTGCACTCGAGCCTTCTGTGGACAACTCTGCGAGCAACGAGGCTTTGGGTCTCAAGGGGCCCTTCTTGATCTCCGACCCTCAAACCAACAAACACATGGGTGCCGTTGGTCATAGGCTCTTCCCCAATCCCCCAGGCAACCAGCCTCAAGATCTTCCATTGCTCTCTCAAGGGCGAACTCGGTCTTGGCCCGTCGGAGCTTTCGGTAGCGTTGCATGAGGCTCTGCCCGTCATCCATGTGCAGGAAGGTGCTTCGGACGACCAAGTGACAACTGCCTGGCCACGAAGCATGGTCGCACATCTTAGACTCTAGAGAACTTCCAGGCAAGAGGAGACGGGCATCGCAACAGGAACGATTGAGTCTGGCTTCGTCTTGAACAACAACGAAAGCTGGAATGCCCCATGCCAGTGATTCACTCTTGACCATCTATCGATGCCAGATATATTCTGGGGGTGCTTAGCAAACGTGTGACTCTCTGGCCTTCCTCTTCCCAAACGTCCGAGATATCCTTGGAGTTGAGACACATTTGGAACATTTAGCTGAGAAACACTTGGAACATTTTACTTTATACATAGACCTGGAAATCGACAAACATTGCTTGTGGACAAATGAATTGCAAGCAACTGAGGAAAAACAATACATACAAACATATCATATGTAATATAAATAAACAACAGAGTCCTGGGGAAAAAAACAGAAAAAACAACTGTGAGGAATTCAAAACCAAGTGTCAGAGCGAGGGGATGGACGATGGGAGGGCATCTCTGCTGTAGTGCTGACCGCATCGCTCAAGCTCTCCACTTTCTCCAGGGCCACTGCTGGAACGCGCAACATGGCACTTGGATGGCGACGGATAACTTAGATCCGTTTCCCGCCGTTTGTCGAGGATTCGCACACCTTGAGCCTACTGAAACAAAGAAACAAGTCAAATGGAGAGAGCGGATTGCAAAGCTTATGGCCAAGCAATTGTGTCCAAAGAAACCCTCAAACGCAAAGAACATCCCAAACGTTGAGGAGTATCAAATGAGCTATATACTGTAATGTGCCGGACCAAAAACCCAAGTTGATGTCATTATATTAGGTATCACTTTAAAACAAATCATCAAAAACGAGGTCTTACGGTCTTACATATACTGGCTTATTGTGTAATCTTATGTAGGTGTTCATTTCTACACCACCTCGATGTTCCTGGCTTTTTTTTGGGTGCTTGCTCGCCACTAGGCACCTCTGCATCTGCGGCATCCGTAGGAAGCCACACCGCCAAGGAGAGCGCCAAGCGAGGTACCGGGGCAGGAGCAAGAGCCAACACACTCAGCAGCTGAAGCCAGTCCTGGAGATGGCTGAGATCCTCTTCTGAAAGGCACGTCGAACCACCTAGAACACCGGTTGTCCCAGGCATGGACAAATGGCCTTCCCATTTTGAGGGAGTCGCACGTGCGCCCACACATAGAGAATTATGAATAATTTTACATTTCAAATTTGGCCAATGTTGTGCACCCCAGTGCTGTACTGTATCATGCCTCGTCAGCTGCCTTTCCTGGTCATACTATGCCAATCTATGCCAACTTGATCCTCCTATTGAGTCTTGAAGTGTTCTACCTGGCCGCGATCCTGTTAAACACCGGCCAAGACACGCTCACCTGAGATTCATTAGTGGCTCACCACCTGAATCTCTTTTGGCTATTCTACATGTAACGAATGCAGTAAGCCTTACATGTGTTGGAATAAACGAAGCTTCAGAACGACTGGAGCCACAAAGTGGTGAATCCATGGAGCCACAAAATCCAACAGACCAGCAACTTGCCTTTTTGAAAAATGATGCGTTGAGGAGGGCCATGGACTAAGTCGACTAAAAACACGTTGTCCTGCACGTTTGCAGCTAAAGGCTTTAGACTTCGACTGTCCGATGCATCAGTCGGATCGAGGTGTTTCGGCACACCGGTCCATAGATTCAAGATGTTCTTCTCTGCGAAACACGCGCAGTGCCAAGGCCATGCGCAGCAGCAGCTGGGTCTGGGAGCGCAAGACTGGGAACAAAGGAAGAACCAGGTGGGTCTGCATCTAAGGTGCTTATGTAATGAAGGGACAGGAGGGAAAGAAATATCACAATCGTTCACCAAACATGGATTCTTATGGATTCTTAGTAGGGTGGTCATTGGGATGATTCTCACAGCCACCCCCAACCACCCTGTGTTTAGCGATTTAAGTCTCGAGTCTCAAGGCGACATGACTGCAGAACCCTCTTGTGTCTCAGTGCATCAGAGGGAAAGTAGCTTGCTACCAGTAGTAATGCACCTTGCTACTAGTAGCGATGCACTTTGCTACTAGTCCATTGGCAGCGTGTCTTCTTTCTTCAAGGTAGCGCCTACAACTCCTAGAGCCCGGAAGACATCATGTGGTATCAGGTCGGGAGGAATTCTTGAAGAGCCGGCGGCTGGGGGACCGCTCTCCCAGTTCCGTCGTGACGCTTGAGGGCTGGCACGCTGGCAGGACAGACATGGTGGCTTCAGTGAGCCGAGGAGGCCAAAAGCCAGCGCTACTGTGGTATCTACGTGTCCTGGTTGTTGTCTAAAGGTTGCCAAAGGCAGCAAGATTGGTACTGCGGGTAGGAGAAGTGCAAGTTATGACGCGACAATTGGCGACTGAAGTCAGCATTCCGGCCAACTAGCATGGACATGGAACATGGGTTGGGTTCTGGGAACACTAGAGTCACTAGAGCCTTTACACTTCCGTGTTAACCAGTTGGAGAGTAGCTTGGATTCGTGGCATTGCATCCCCAGCCAAATCGGTTTTGATCCATTCACATCCATTCTTGTGTGTGTGTGACACCTTGACTCCATGCCTGTCATCCAAAAATATCCTGCCGTCCAAGTACAGCACGCAAGAGTTCTGGATCTGCCAGTCGTCCGCGTGGACCCCAGTCATCTTCCACCAGCTGATACAAGCCCGGCAGGAGCCTGGGACAAATCCGCACCCTCGAAGGGTAGTTTTCATCTCCCAAAACTAGACGTTCATGTCAAAAAGGGCTTATCAAGTTAACTTTCATGTATCATTCAGTGTTGTAGTCACCCTGCATGCTATGCTGGAAAAGGATCCCACAGACTGTAGATTGTAGTCCATCTCTATGCTGGCCAAACCTGTCCGTCTTCTCATCCCAAAACCGTCGTCCCGGTCTAACCTGGTCAAAAACCCCAAGTCACACAATTGCAAGGACAACCCCAGTTTGTCACACTTTGTTGGCCAAAACAACATCTACACCTACACCAATTAACCCAGCAAGATCTTCAAGGCTCCACTTAAAAATCTTTAAAACAAACATCCTGTCCTCACCTGTGAGCTATGCCCATCTTGCCCCGACTATAAGTAGTGGAAGATCTGCTCTTCCAGACACCCCAAAGGTGATATGCACCCTTGTTTCGATGAAAGTACCGCTGATCGCATCAATTGCAGTTACCTTCACTCATCCCACCTCTGATGCATCAACTGCTCCAACTCGGTGATCGTTTCTTTGATCTCCATCGTTTCACCTTGGAGAGACACACACACACACGAAGAGGACAAAACGAACCCTGCCTGGGCGTGTTGGTCAGACCCTGTGCGTGTTGTTGTTTGTTGCTCTCTAGGTCCAGTACTTTTGTTGGAAAGCCAAACAACTTGATTTCACGGCAGTGGGCGATATCTGCAATTTCTGGTTGACTGGAATTGCCAGTCAACCACCAAAAGTAATAGGAACATGTGCACAGTACGCAACAGCCTCCCAGTAAGGACAACTATTGCCACAATGGGATGTCACTAGTCTGGGAAGGAAAACCATTCCATAGTTCAAAATGAAGAGGAGCCTTGCGCTCAGCCGGAGCAAGGATTCCCAAGAACGAAATTCAAAGCCAACACAAGGCGGCCTAGGTGTCAAAGGTACAACCAGCCGGAGCAAGTTCTGTCGATTTTGGCACGCAACCATCCAATCCCCGTCCCCCATGAATATATAGCTTCTTCTCCTGCCCCGCAGCTTTGACCCGAAGCTGAACACCTGGTGATAGAGAAAGGCAGGCTCTTGTAAAGCAGAAAAGTAAGACATCACGGTTTCTATTTCTGTAATGTTATCTTACTTTGTGGGTGTTCACTACAGAATACAATCTTTCTCTCCCACTATCTCCCACTCCTTTGAAGCTCAGCGTGGCATCACTCAAACAAATGGATGCTAAGTCACCAAGCCACACTCTTAAAATGCCTCCCGGGAACGGTGTTCAATTGAGAAGGACAAAACGTATAATTAATAGAACACACATAAGCAAAAAATCTAAATAAAAACCAACAAACAGGTACCATCACCACGACAAGAAAAGCTCCTACTACGACTAAGACAACAACAAAAGGGCTGCCTGAAATGCCTAAACAGGTAAACAGCCCGCTGCGTGTTCTTATTTGAACCGAGCGACGAAGAGTTATGCTGTATGCTATTTATGCTGCCAAAAAAATACAAAAAGAGTCCGCTGGACCCCCTGGCAAAAGCCATTCCACTGTATATGCTCCAGTGACACTTATATATATATATATGCAAATAGCCATTAAGGCTTTGAGGACATGTTTCACCCCCAAAAAACCAGTCGTGTTTTTACTCGCAACATATGTTGGTTTGCTTGTGTGGTCATGTTTGTCATTTGGACCGGAGGATTTGGTTGGAGGGAATGCATTGCATAGTATATAACAAAATAAACCACCACCCACCAAATAAACAAATAAATGCAAGGAAAACGCTCAACGTATTTTGAAGGTCAGGCAGTTCTCGAAGAAGGTGATACATCATTTCCAGGCCTGTCACTTGCTCCTTGTAAACAATCTGAGAAAAGAGCCCGACATACATTGACAAGGGTGCGAGACATGCTTCTTCCATGCTGATGTCAACCCCCCTTCAGTGCTGGTCAAAGTTAGCGTGTGTTGGAGGAAACTTTAGACTCTAGACGAGGGCGAACGTGATGAGACACAAAAGAAACAAAGTACAAATGCAACACGTAATGTCAAGTTTCTCTCTATATATATATATATCAATCCAGAAACCAAATCATCAGTGCGAGCGCTTCTTCAAGAAAGCCTCCCCGCCGCGGGGGGAGCTTCCTTGAAGAAGCATGAGCTATCCTGCGTCCATATGTAGTAGCTACTTGTAGGCAACTTGTAGGTACTAGCTACCTAGCAGCTACTACCTACCTCCTAGCGGCCTACCCCTCCCCGTCGGTAGGTCGATGTGCGTGCTGCCTTTCTCAGTCCTCGTCCTGAAAGCCAAGCACCAAGGATCCGCCTCACTGGGGCGTTGTGGACGCTGTTCTTTTCAACAAACACTCGGGTCTTGAGGGGCAGTTGCTGGTGATTTACTGGAGCCTGTATATCAAATGTTGGGTTGTTGTCCAAACAGGCCAAAGGCACCAAACCATGCTACGAAGAATGTGTTGTCTGATTCTGAGCAGCCAGCAGGCTTCCTTGCTTAAGAAACTTCACTTCACAAGCGAAGGTACCGGCAGGTACCGGGAAGGACAGGGGATACATTGCCTTAAGCAAAGAATATCATCTAAGATTCTAAGATCATCTAAGTAGAATCCCCGACCAATATCTTGATTGTTTGTTCATCTACTTCGCATGTTGGGGTAGTCTGGAAGGCGCCTACATTGAAGAAAAACAACTTAATCTACTAGATTGAGATACCCGATTTGTAGATGTTTGGTAGCTTCAAACTTGTCGAGTTATACAACAGCCCCAGCTTCGGACATCTACCGGCCTCCCTGCCACATGGTTAAAGCGGCCAAGCCTGCCATACAGGCTGGGATTTGAGCCCGGTATAACAATGTTTCTTGCAGCCTTGCACACCAGTCTGCACACCAGTCTGCACACCAAAGGTCGAAGGCATCAAGTCTTACTTGCCAGAACAAAACAGAACATGTAAGAAATCCATGAAGTAGGAAATGTATTTCTTGCTGGCAATCAATGTAACAAATTCAGTATGATGCAACATATACTTGATTTCTGGTGTTCTGACTTTCTGAGTCATGCTCGCTGCTCAATATCACTGCACAAGAAGCCCATAGCACACTGCCCCGGACGCCCAAAGCATTTCGCCCATAAAGGAACTGGAATATGTTGCTGATCCGTTTCTAGGACGCTTTCAGGATCTTATCATCTATTCTAACTTAAACACTCTCCAGACTCTCCACAATTGTTTAACAAAGGGCATCCAAGTATCCAAATTGAAAAACACCATGCAGAAACCTTTGATTTGTTTGGGACCACCCCGCTTTTTGCAGCTTCACCATCCGCCTTCGCTCAACGCCTTCTGCAACTCCTCGCGGCACTCAGAACGCAACCGAACCTGAGATCCGACGAGTAGAAGACAAGACCTGAAATGCAAATACCAAGGGGGAGGGGGTAGGCTGGAAGAAAAAGAGAAGGTAGCAAGTAGGGAGTAGCTACTAGCAAACAAGTAGCCACAATCAATCGGACACCGAAGGGCTCAGGCTTCATGATCTGGTTCCTAGATACGCTGTTTGTACTATGAAGAAGGTGTAAGAAGGGACTAGTAACAGTATACTAGTATATAGTAACCATTCCCCGCTGTGCTTTGTTTGCACTACCCTCGACGTGGCCGGGCACAATGCAGGCATGTTTCCACGCTTCTCTCTCTCATCCCTGTGATGAAAATCTGCTCTCTAAGGCCAACTTGAAGAAGTTGCGCAGCCTTGGCCGTTGAGGCCATTGAAGGCCAGCGCACAGTTGGTCAGCCCAAACAGGTCAGAGTGCAAAACAATGTAAATGTACAGTGAATAGAATACATGTGTGTGCGTGGCTCATGCCTGAGGTCCAAGGTGTCCATGGTCAGCTTTGGGAGGGAAACATGTGAGAAACAGCAATGAGGTCCAGTGTACAGTACCTCCTTTGCACGTGAAATGCCAGGTTTAGTTTAGCCATTGGTTCTCCAGGTGGTCAGATGTGAGGCATGCATGCATAGGAACATCTGTGTGCAATCCATTACACTGTGAGCTCTCATATGCTCTTGGATCCGGACCTGGCACAAAGCTGCTTCCCTGCCGGGTGCTTCATCTGACTCCTCACACAGTACACGTCGGAACGGCATTCTTAATACATGGCAAGGGTTCAGCACTTTCGGATGGATCCAAATATTGGTCATGCTGATCTATAAGCTCCATGACTTTGGAACAGTCTATGAGCTTCTCAATGCTTCTGACAAACCTGGTGAGATGCGACGTTCCTCTGTCTGGGTCCAGTTTCTGTTCATTGGGCACATAGGAACGTTGCATCTTGTATCAAGAATACCTTGTCTTGGCAAGAGTGAATCCACTAATGTTTCCGGGTCTTGCAGGATGTGTGCTGATTGGAAGTTCTTTCTGAGATCCATGCAACTCCTCCCCAAGGTTCTTGATGCCAGCATCTGGTGTCTCGCCTGCCAGGCCATTGCACAGACCCAAACAGGTGCAAGTGTCAATCAAATTCCCATCAAAGGCAAAACTGCAACCAGAACACAACAAACATCTGCACTGAGGCAAAACGGGGCTACACTCAGTTTGAAGGCGGCACACGAAACAAAACTCCATGACTCCATGTATCAAGCCCTTGGCAAACGGTCTCCTGATGCAACTTAGCCATTCCAACTCGCCTACCACTGTTTCTTAGTCTTTTGGCCGCAAAAGGGAAATTTGATGTCTGTTGAAACCCGTGAAAGGGTCACTTTTGAGGTGGCGGTTCACGTTCTATGCTCGAATGTCATTTTTTGAAAAACGTTCCAGGCCTTCTTGCAGCATCTGCTGAAAGATTGAGAACTCCTTTGCTTGCCTCATTGTGTCAGTCAGCCACTTTTTGTCAAAGACCCACCCAGGATGGTCACGAGTCACAATTTGCACAAACTGATCTACAACACTTTCAGTTCAGGTCGTGTTTAATTGAATCTACGAATCTTGATGGATGCAGGGATACAGGCCGTCAGCTCTGTTGCACTCCGGACAGAACAAATACTTTACTTCGAGTGATCCCCACCATGACATTTAAATCTGACAAGCTTTCTGGCATGTATCGAGGTATTATTTTGGAATTATTTCTAGAATATCTTCTGACATTTTTGTCTGGCATATCTTCTGAGCGATTCTGGCACATCTTTTGACAGTCTTTCTGGCAAATCTTCTGCATATCTTCTGACATTCTGTCTGGCATCTCTTCTGACATTCATTCAGGCATATCTTCTGACATTCTTTCTGGCGTTCTATCTGGCATATCTTCTGACTCGCGGTTGAGGGCCGGCGGGGAACACTGCCAGGAGGAGGCGGAGGAGGAGGACGAGGAGAAGAAGGAGGACGTCAGCTGACATAAAATCTAACAACCCTCACCTGACAGGTGGGGAACAATAGTGAAAACATCAGAAAACTGGTTACTTACACAGGAAAACCTCAATGCTGCGGTTCTGTGACACCAATCTGCGAGACAGTGGCTTGGCTTCATGCCAAGTCTGAGACGTTAAAATGTCTTCGAATGGTCGACCTCTGCTTCTGCAGGGCCTACCCTTTTCTTGGGTCTGTGATGTCGCCGGTGGCATCAAAGGTGCAAAAAAAATGGTATTTGTCTTCTGGAAACCCCTGCTGTCCAGCAGAATCAAAGCCGGAGAGCCAAAGCAAACTATCCAAACCCAAAAGCAGTTACACTTGCTCTTCACTCCTGGGAAGCTGAAAGGAGGACTCACCGAACTGTACTGCCAAAGTATTGATACTCGTCACCGAACCAAAGAAGATACCCACTGGTGGTCCTCGAATTTGCTCGATGTGTTGAACCGTGCCAAAGTGCTGTGGAGCCCACAGGGCTACCGCCCTTGAGAGCAGTTCCGCACACTGCCAGGGACGCTCCCAAAGAAGACGAAGGTCGAACACCAAGGACGAGACCTGGGACGAGACCGCCCATGGCGACGGAGACATGGTGACTGGGTGCAAGTGCCGCAAGGGACGGATCGTCGGCATGGTGACAACGACAGCTTCAAAACCATATATGCACATACATGCCATATACTATGCCATATCATGCCACAATGTCAGGAACTTACAGTCCACCAGCTACAGGTTTACACACACACACAACTTGCAAGTCTTTGCAACATCCAGCAAGTTCAGAACATAAACTTAGACCGTGTTGGGATCGGTTGGCACAGTCCCATCAATCTCATGAGTCGTCACAACATGTCACAACAACCCTTCGACATCGCGTCCAATCAAAAGGGGGTCCTGGTCAAAGCCTCTGGGACGCATTGGGACTCATTGGAACTCATTGGGACTCTGGGTCAAGGTTTCCTGGGGAACAGGATGCAAACCCCACAGAGTTTGATGTACACCATAACCAACACAAGATTGACAGAAAGGTCATCTATATATTTGGATGTTCAATCCTTTTGTATATAATAAATATATATATATATGTTTATATGTTTATAGCTTTTGACCTGTAGCGCATAGAACCCATACCCATGTCATTGTGATGCTTCGATAGTCGATGCCAGACTCCGCCCGCTGAGCTCAGACTCCTACCATTGCTGCCAGCACTTCATTCTCTCTTGCCCAGCTTGATAGGAGCTCTTCGGCGTTGGAGCACGTCATGACTCCTGCGCACAGCACGGGCACGGCACAAGCGCAACAGCGCAAGGACTCATGATTGACCACAAGGATAAGCACGATCGAGCACCATCTTGGAAGCTACTATGCCAGCTATGCCCTTCGCAGAAAGTGCGCAGAAAAAGATGCGCGCAATTGGTATTCATGGTGCAGCAATCTCCCTGCCTTGCAGGAGGCCCAGCAGGACATCGATCAGCAAGAGCGTCTCAGGCGTCCAGTCCTCGAGGCATCCCGGACACATGTGTCTCGGCCACGGAACCCGCTGACTGCCGGAAGACTTTGGAGCCAAAAGAACCCAATTTTCTCCCTGGCATACGATCACGCTGCATGCTGAAAATTCATGAAACACAATTGATTCACACATCTTGGCCGCATCACGCATCTTGGCCGCATCGGCCCTGTCTGACACACTCTCAACTTAATTAGCTTTGTCTGACTTGGCCAGACCTGAACCATGCCAGCCCTTCTGCTAGTAACTAGTAAAAGCCAGCCTGTAAATTCAAAGGAACCATGTACTGTAGATGGAGGATCCATGCCACCCAAGTCGCGTGGGAAGGGAGTGGCTCGAACCACGGAAGCTTCTCAGCCGCGTGTGCTTTTGGAAGACCCAGGCAGCGGAACCAATCCTGGGCGGCGACCCGCAGGGTCAGCTAGGGCAAGCTGCTGCAACGCAGCTATGTTGTTGCAACGTAGGAGATCCTGACAAGACCTCCCAAAGAAGCTCGCCCTCTTCAAACATCTTCAAACCGGATTTGATGTTGATGACACAAGGATCATGTCTTGGGTTCGATAATAAAAAGCATCACCAATGCATTATTGACTTATATACCTGGATAATAATATCCAAGACATCAGTAACTTCAGGTGCTCCAGTGCTCATCCAAAAGTTTATGTTTCTGCACAAGCATGGTTTGATATTGGTCCAACCCCACTCCATGGTGGAGGTCTTTCTTCTCATCTTGAAGTTGGCCGTATGACCTGTGCAATATGTGTTTTCGAATGGAACGGTGATGGATGGGGCACGGCTTGACATTGGTTTAAGCTTTGTACCATTGTGCCGAATTGCTTCTGTGTGATTTGAGAATCTTGGGCGGTTGCAAAACATGATGCACGCTGCTGCTACATTGGGGCATATTGGTATTTTTTCTTTTTTGTGAATGCAATTTTCAGGCTAACACAGACGGTGGCCAGTGAAACAACTAGAACATGTCGCTGTCGGAGCATGTCCGTGTTCTTCCCTCAAGACATGGTGAGTGCCTTTAGGCAAGCCATGGCAAGCCTGTTACGTAAAATTCAAGGCGCAACTGTGAGCCCAGCAGTTGATCTGGGCCTACCATACCATGCCATACCTGTGACCCTCAACTACGAGCCATTGCCTGGCACTTGACTTTAAGTCAATGGGTCTCAAAGGATCTCAAGAGCCAGCTTGAAAACCTATATAGAATCCCAAATAGATAGAAGTAAATCCCCACTTAAGATGTATTGGAAACCGTGCCACTATCTATTTGAGGACCACTATCGTCGGATTCAGCAACCTCCGTGGAAACATCCGTGCCACGCCTGTGGCCTGATCCGCCTGATCCGCCAAGCCTCTAGAGCCTCCGCAGCACAGCGTAAGGCTTGCCGCCTCAACGCCAGCAGGGAACGAAGGAGCTCCGAGACCAAATAGATGCAATGGAGCCTCGAGAAAAGACATAGCGTGGGTCTGCAAAGTGGAGGAGCTCAGAAATTCACGGGCCAGCAGCATGACCCAAGTGGAATGCAGCATGCAGTTCTGACCAATGAACCAGGACGGGTCGGAGCTAGTTGGAGGAACCATGACCATTTCCCAGCACAACACAATCAGAGTAGTGATGCTCTGTTCCTTGCACTTTCTGAGTTTGAGTGAAAGTACAAATGGTTGCATGCTTCCACTTAAAATAATGGTTTGAGAAAGGACATCGGCGCGGATACTCGCATCTGCGCAATGTGCCACTTGCGAAACAAACACACCCACAACAGGAACACCTGTGGGGTGCCTGTGTCAGGCAATCCCTCATTCATATACTGTAATTGTTGTGAATATTATGTCATGGCTACGCACATTAGGGACTCCAGCATATCATGGCCCAAAAGTCAAAGCTCTTTTTTTGCAAAACATCCGATGCACTCAACGTGCCGTGTATTGCATATACAAGGTCTATCAAGTCTATAGTTAGTATAGAGCCTCCTTTTGCGACAACATCATAGTGTCATCATAATGCCGGATCAGTACCACGTTCGTAGGGCTTCGATCGGCTTCAATGCCTCGAAAAGACGAACTGGACACCAAATTATCTTACTCAACGGACCCAACCCTGCGACAAGGAAACATCTGCTGTGCATTTCGGCACTGCTTCATTGATGCTTCATTCTTTCCTGCCAAGGATGGGGAACAACTCAGCAAGTGCCTGCGTCATCCTTGAGTCCTTTGGTACTTGTCATCACGAAACTTTCAGTACGAGTTCCGGGGCTGGGAATCAAGTGTGCTACACCTGCTGCTTCTCAAGTCTGTGAATGTACAGATCTTCTCAGTCTGTCAAATAAGTTGAAAGCATCATCTATAGTTCCAATGAGCAAAGCACAGGGCTTTCCCTTTTCTATCACGGCCCTCAAAGGAAAGGTTTCGCATGGTTTCGCCCGGATGTTGTGGCAAATCGGACTGACGTAAAGTCTCCTTCTCCTGGTTCTAAATGAAGGAGTTGGAGAAGAGCTCGCAGGGCATGTTGAGCCAAAGGGCTTTCGACCACGCCTGGCACAACCAGACGACCAGTGAATACGACCAGTGACCAGACCCGGTGGACTCCCCAACACACCATTCAACTAACTGCAAATCAGCAGGTTCTCGAAGTTGTTTTTGCCGTTGAATCCCGAGCCAGAACTGGAGAGAAGGAAGGAGAAGGGTAAGGGTAAGGAAGGGAAAAGGGAACACATTGAAAGGACTTGATGTAGATGTAGGCTCTACAAGCTACACATGTGAGACAAGCTTGTTGCTGCCAGCAAAAGCACCGTCTTTTTGCACAGAAAATGCTGGTGTTGTGTTGCGTAGCCGCATGGCATCAACACAGGTCAGGAAAAGTGCAGCTTCCATACAGCCGCTATCTAGGTGCGCTTTCAAATGTGTGTTTGCTACACTGCTCCCTTCTGCTCATTTCAGATCTTCCTCTCCGTAGTCGTAGACAGCATCCGAGCCAGGGATGAAGTCCAAATACACCTAGGTCTCTCGGGTCTTCCTGGCTAATGGAACCAAACTTGCTTTTGACTTTTATGTTATTATCAAGGTCCCCATTTTCCAACACGTTAAACATCCGACAAATCCGACAAACAGAAAGGTCACACAATCTTACATGTTTGTCCCACTCCCAAAGACAGATTAATGTTGTTCATATCAGTAGTGGGAAGAAAGCTACTTCCACACTTGCTTGAACAAAACTCAGCACACTCAACTTATTAAACCAATCATCACTTGTTGCGTTTTCAGGTCAGGACTCGTGGACAAAAATCCTCCAAACTTGTAAGTGAACCTCCTAGCCCAGTCAGGGAAGGGTCTTTCTTTAACTTCCACCCAGGCGAGCTGGCTCGTTTGGATTAAGGGATCCAGTTACCACTATAGGTTCCTAGTAGTACGCCCAGGAGCCCCTAGTAGCGTCCTTGCTCCTAGTAGCGATGCCAGGAGCCCCTAGTAGCTTCTTTTCTACTAAACGCCAAAAAAACAACAAAACTAACTACCGATACAACATCATCTGACTGTCGAAACTCTCGCAACACATTGAGAACCCACCCTCCGACTCAACATTGCCGAGGGACTGTGGCCTCCACTGGTTGGAAGGGCGGCAAAGCCATCCGTCCGGGCGCCGCTGGCAAGGCCTTCTCACCGAACGCCAAGTTCCCGGGGATCCGCATCTTCCGTACGCCGCCCGTCTTCATCCCCACCATGCCTGGGAAAGAGATTGATCCGAAGGGCGTCAACGCGCAGGGCGTCAACCGCCTTAAAAAAGAAACTGGTGCTGTTCGCGGATTGACATTGGTTCTTGTTCTGGAGACACCTGACATGGAGTTCATCCTGGAGGTTATCCAACATCTATAAATTGTTTAGCTTGTGTTTCAACTATATTTGTCTCGCATGTGGCTGCTGTGGGGAACAACTTTGAGTGCATTACAAGTCATGTATAGCATGTTTTGGCTTGTTGCTTGCAGCAGTCTCCGACCTCTGTTTCATCATTAGGCTGCATTTTTTGAATGTCATCTTTTTCTGAGTCTGAGTCACATGTTCAAAGTTGGCATTGTCTCTCATCCTTAACGCATTGACAGGCCTACAAAATGTCTTAACATCAAAGTTGTGCAAGCATGATAGAAAGCTACCTTCTTTGAATGTTAAAACGCTGGGTCTTAACAAGGTGCATGAGCATATCCGTACTGATCACATCTGGTGTACTGTATATTCTAGTAACATACCAATGTGAAATGTGATCCAATGTGGACATCCAAGTGCCTATCAAAAAGAACATGTGGGCGCAATCTGATGTGTGTCTGAATCCGCCTAGGGATCTTGCCATGTCAGGATATCTGTTTTGGAGGTCCAGGCGTGAATGAAGGACAACTCGTTCTTAATTATGAAGATCACACTGAAAATCATACAACACATCGATTCTGACACGCCGAAATGCCTTCATCCATCCCAGGCAACAGCTGGCCGACCCCAAACCTGAAGTCTTTGGCCGAGCCCTTGGTCAAATCCTCCACAATCACTTCTCGTTCACGGATGTAGGCCTTAAGCTGGTAGCGGCACGCGATCTGGTCACCGATCTGAGGGCTTGAGCCGGTGCCCACCTTCACGTCCTCCCATTCCACACCTCCCAGGTGGACGTCATCCTCTCCCCCATCAGGTCGCACTTTCCATGCGGTGGTCACACCCTTGTCAGCCTGAGCAGGGAGGCTCAATCCAAAGCTCATCAGTGGCAACAGCCGCAAGTGAGCACGGCTCACCGCTTCAACCTCTTCGGTTTGGACTTCCACTTTCCGGGTGAGAGGTTCGGGCACGAAGGTCTTCTGCAGTGCCAAGGCTGAAAGGCACAGCAGCAGGACTTGAAGGCGGCGTTGAGGACGAGCCATTGCCGAAGAGCTTGATACAAATATGAAACAACGGGAACTCTAGAGAACATCTTTTCAGCAATTGGAACGCTTTTCTGTATCTGTTGATTCGTGAGCAAATCTGGATGGTCGTTGATGATCAGTGGCACTTGGAACTCTGCTTGGTCAGCTCCTACACACCTCGCAGCTGCATGAGGTAAAGGTCAGATGCAAAACGCAAAACCGTGATGTTCAATCTGCACACACTCACAGCACTACCCTATCCGTCCCTATGCCATTCGCCTCTTTGGTCTTCTGGTCTGTCGAAGCACGCAAGCACTCTGGAAGAAGGCAATAACATGCGCAAGAGTCGCTTATCCCATGTTGAGCATCTTATTGTTACTGTAAGTCTTTCAACCTGTCCTGTCAATGATTGTCCGGATTCCTCCACAGCTGTGGAACGGGGCCCCACATCCGACCTGACGAAAGCAGTTGGGCCAGAAGATGCCACAAGGCAGGAAGCGCCTGGGCAGTCACAAAAGACTTGATCAATAAGGGAAAGGTATGAAAAGGGTGCCGAGGGGTGCCCGCAAAGGGTTTTGGGCTGGTCAGAGTGAGAATACATCGCACGAACAAAATCGCACGAACGTCTTCCGTACAGCATGGATGGGCTTTCAATATATATATATATATAACTAGATTCGTTCTAGCGCGAGGGTACTTCAGTTGGAGTCCTTCGTGAACTGCCTTGAACACGTTCATGCTCTATTCCATGCTTTAAATCTATGGCAATAGTTGTGAGCCCTAAAGGCTTGCTGATGGGTCAACACAAATGCTGGAATCAGGTCTCATTCTCTACTTGAGAGAGGAGGGGGCGAAAGGAAGGTAGCAGGCACGGCTCAAAGGCAGCCGCAGAAAACGCAGCAACTGCGACTTTGTACATGCCACAAAATGGAAATGGTTTTGGCAATACAGTGGCTAAACGAAAGTTGTGCTTCTTCATGGTGAAACTCATCACAACCCTATCCTCCTAGGATCATACGCAACCTGAGGAGAGATGGTGCGGGCAGTCATTTGTGACCCCGGAAAGAATTTTATTATTGTAAACTTAAAACGGTGTGATAATTGACTGTCTCACATCTGCCATGAAAGTCAGACTTGTTACTTCCATCCGCCGCTGACCTCAGAGTGTTTTTAGAAAGCCTAAGAAGCATAAACTTTTGTCGGCCTGAAGTAGTACTACGTGTCTACCTTGACTTGACTTTAGCTCATACATATGATTACTGCACTTCCAGCGCCAGGTCCACAAATTGTTTCGTCACCCAATGACAACACCTTTCTGGTAAGAAAATTGTTTTGCTCTGCCCAAAAGCGGAAGTGCATTTTTGGGAGGTCAAAGTGGCTCTACGTGGCTACACCTTCTTTTCATGTATGAAGCACCCAAACCGGCCTAATCCGGCATGTACCGGGACTGTTCTCTATATCTGTTATCATCTCTTGTCTCACTGCATCCATCGTCAGCAGGAGGGATTTGATCCAGGGGGGCCCCCTATGATACAGAATCCTTCCTTACAATACCAAACTCTAGGCAATTCACATCAATTCACCAAGTCCTGGTTACAATACAGTTTTGCTAAAGCAAAAGGAGAACTCAGGTAGCCTGAGGCTACCTTTCGTGATCAACAGATCTCTCCCGCAACCAATCGCTCTGAATGTCATGTCAGCTTATGGCTGTATAAGTCCACGTTTATAACCACAGTATCCAGTCCTCTTCCGCTTCTGCCGCCGGTGACTGCCGCCTGACAAGGCTGTGTCCACAATGGTGGCACCGAAAAAAAGGGTGGGATCAGGTTGTGTGGGACGTATGTATCTGCTCAAAGGTCTGAACAACAGGTTTTGAAAAATAATCTGGACTACAGAAAGGATGAAACGTCTAAAAACAGGAACATCGGGAAAAAATCAAGGAAACATCTACTGTACTCACTATATTCAGTTTGACGCATTGTGTACGCTTTGTTGTTCTAACGGACCTGCTCTGGCCGATAGTCTCGTGAAGCTCATCAGAGTCGCGCTGTGGTATCCTTCTGCTGTTGGACATAAACTCGGGTGTAAGTCTTCAATTAGAGCCGTCCTGACGCCAATCCACCTGTGAGGTGCCGTCACGCCTATGTTCCTTCTCCTGCTCGAGTAAAAGGCCTCGCACATGACTAAAGGTAAAGCAGGGGTCCGGGATCACAATCACATCGCTCAGAACTCAAGCTTGCAAAAGAATAACACCATGACTCCAGTAGTTTCTGACAAACCCTTGGTACCAAAAGAAGCTTCCATGAGTCTACATGTAACACAAAAAACTTCCTTAGTTTGAAGGCACACCTTCTTGCAAGACTAATATAATCGTGAGTCTGAAGAAGGCAGAGCTTGAAAGAGTTCGGAACAAAGAATCTGTTCTTCGATCTTATGCATTTGGGGTGCCTTTGGGTCTTGTCCTAGATGCGTGAAACGGCACAAGATGTTGTGAAAGCTTCTGGCAATATTCTAGATTCTATAGTAGGAAGATCAGGTATGGAGCGATTGGCTAGATAAGTCGGAGTTTCTGCAGTCGAACAGTAGCGACACTGCAAGTAACGCGGTGCTGCGCTTGCAGTGCACAATATGTAGTAATAGTATCTGTGTGGTCTTTTGGCACACCCTGCTTGCAAACCAAATCCCTTACCACCCTCTAACAAGTAAATCTTGTTTGGTCCGATTTGGTCCTATGGAAAAAAATATGAAATAACATAAACAAATACATAAATAACATTAAATAACTGTTTGGAATTTCCTCTGGAAAGCCAGTCCTTCCGCCTTCCGTCTCCTTTTTTGGGGCCCGCACACAGCACGTCGCAGGCCGCCGTATTCTCGGACTCCCGAAGGCAAAGGCAAAGACCCTCGACCACCGGAGCATAGGTCTTGGTGTGGCAGGTCGTGTCAGGACGGTCGTGTGTTCTGACTGTTTGGACGGTCAAAAGCTCCGTTCGTAGCGTCCTTGTTCCTAGTAGTAAGGCCTGGCGGCCAGGAGCCCCTAGTAGCGTCCTTCCTCCTAGTAGCGATGCCCTTTGCTCCTAGTAGCGTCCTCTACTGGAATGCCAAGTTGGACGTTCTTTGGGTTTGCTGGGATGCCCCACCAACAGTAGCCTTGGCATGTCCACAGCCAGCTGCCAAAGCTCTCGGCATGCTGCAGGTCGCTGTGAAGCATCGGAGAACTTCAAGCGGACCTGGGATCCACTCTTGGAGGATGTCCGTTATGGCCTTCGATCTGGGACTATCCTAGATGGTCCTTGATGCCATATGATTTCAATTGATTTCATTGATATTTGCCGTGGATCCACCTTCCTGAGAGTTCTGTCTCGGGATGGATGGAGAAAGCAAGCAAAGAATTGCGAAGCAGGCTGCTAGCAGGGCCCACTTGTGAGGATGCGTCCGGACGCATATACTTCTGATCACTTCTGATAGTCAGTCAGCTTCGCTGTGCAAAATATGTGCACACAAAGCACATTTATGCAAGCTTGTAGTGAACCATGAAGTGCCGGTCAAGGACTATCAGCACAATGAAGCCAGCAAACCAGAATCCAAGAATCAAAAGAGGTGATTGATGATTGATTTTGCCATCTTGCATCATCTTGCTATATCTTGATCATGCTCGTCAGCATCAGTGCACCAAACGTCAGCATCATCGGAGACCCGACACCACATCCGCCTGACACCCGACTCACCGGAGCTCGCCCAAACCCCTTCTCGACGAAGCAAACAGCCTCAGCTCTCGACGGCCATGTCCAGCAGTATCTGCTGATCTGCCTCACCGATTTGGAGCTCCTGGGCACTGCTGATCTTCACCGAGAGATCCGTGAAAATTCCAGCGGTCGGAGACGTCCAGCACTACAGTTTGTGTTTTTTGTGAGAAGGCAGTGTTCTTTGGGCCCATGGAATATCCCTTTCCATGTGAATTCGAAAGGGGAGTCTTTGTTGGCGCCACAAAAAGTAGGTTCTCAGGACCAGCAAACGTCTGGATTGGAATCTCTATGAATCTCTCGATGGTCATATGTTTGATGGCCGAACCATAAACCAATGACGCATACAGTGGTTAGTGCAAATGAAGGGAACGGTGTTTTTTGCGACAGTAATCAGGGTATTTCCAGACAGTTATGTAGATCGGTGTTTTTTCGACCAGTCACCGGTGTTTTCTTGCTATGGTGACTAGGTTCGGTGTTTTTTGCACCAGTAGTCTGGTGTCTTTTGCGACGGTTCCTCCTGGTCGTTGTTTTTTGCAATGGTTCCCCCACACCGCTGTTTTTTGTGCCGGTGATTATTGTTTTTTGTCGACAGTGGTGGAACACGGTAAATCAGGAAGCATCTTTTCAATCAGTAGAAGCAGTAGTAGTAGTAGCAGCAGAAGTAGTAGTAGTAGTCGTCGTAGTAGTAGTTGTTGTTCAGAAATTTGCGTTGTTGCTGTTGTTGTTGTTGTGGTTGTTGCCGTTGTTGTTGTGGTTCTATTTGTGGTTGTTGCCATGTTGTTGTTGTTGCTGCTGCTAGCGGTGGGGGTTTGTATGGTTGTTATTGTCGTTTGTTGTGTGTTGTTTGTTTGTTGTTTGTTGTTTTTTGTGTTGTTGGTTGTTGGTTGTGTTTGTTGTTTGCTTGATGTTTGTTGTTTGTTGTTGTTTGTTGATGGTTTTTGTTTGTGGTTTGTTGTGGTTGTGGTCTGGATTTTCATTTGGTTGGGCTTTAAACAGTTTTTCGTGGCAGGCGCATTGGTACAATGTATGTATCTATGTACGTATGTATGTATGTGTGTCCGGATGTATGTTTGTATGTATGTGTGTATGTCTGTAAGTATGTATGCATGTCTGCATGTATGATTGTTTTGTTTGTATGTATCTATGTATGTATGTATGTATGTGTGTGTATTTATGTCTGTGGGCGACATGCATGCGTGATATGCCACAAAAAAGCGGGAGGGGGTGGCAGGGGGAGGGCGCAGCGCCTCCCCAGCCGAACCCGAAGTCCAACCTCCCTGGGCCCCCTGCTCCCAAGAAACAGGAGCGCAGATTCCTTGCAGTCCTTTCCACTCCGCTTTCAAGCCCGAAGTCGACCCGAAGCCGAACCCGCAGTGGTCCCCCCCCCCCAAAGAAAAGGGTCCCAGGCGAGGCCGAACCTGCAGTCGAACCTCCCCCTCCCATAGAAAAAGACGATCATTGGCCCGACCGTCATTGGCCCGACCGTCTTTGCATCGTGTGTAGATAGAGAGCTGCATCGGCCACAGTGGCCCGACCGTCTTTGCGTGTATGTATGTATGTACGTATGTATGTATGTAAGTATGTATGTATCTATGTACGTAGCTATGTATGTATGTATGTATCTATCTATGTATGTATGTGTGTCTGTATGTCTGTTTGTAGGTATGTATGTCTGTAAGTATGTCTGCATGTATGTTTGTTTTGTTTGTATGTATCTATGTATGTATGTGTGTGTATGTATGTCTGTGGGCCACGTGCATTCATGATATGCCATAAGAAAGCGGGAGGGGGTGCAGGGGGAGGGCGCAGCGCCTCCCCCGCGGCAAACAAGCCGGAAGAAGCGTGGCCGAGCGCGTATCATCTTGTATCTATTTTGCATGTATGTATCATGTGTGTATGTATCTATCTATCTATCTATGTATGTATGTATGTATGTATGTATGTATGTATGTATGTGTGTGTATGTCTGTGGGCCACATGCATGCATGATATGACATAAAAAAGGGGGAGGGGGTGCAGGGGGAGGGCGCAGCGCCTCCCCCGCGGAAAACAAGCTGGAAGAAGCGTGGCCGAGCTCGTATCATGTTGTCTCTACGTGCCTTTGCCTGCTCTTGCTGCGTCTCCAAGGATGAATGTATGTATGTATGTATGTATGTTGGTGTGTGTGTGTGTGTCTATGTGTGTTTGTATCTATGGCTGTATGTTTGTATGTGTCTGTATCGTGTGTAGATAGAGAGCTGAATCGGCCACAGTGGCCCCACCGTATGTATGATCTAGGTATGTATGTATGTATATATGTGTGTGTCTATGTGTGTCTGTATGTATGTTTGTATGTATCTATGTATGTATGTATATATATATATATGTGTGTGTATGTATGTCTGTGGGCCACATGCATGCATGATACGCCATAAAAAAGAGGGAGGGGGTGCAGGGGGAGGGCGCAGCGCCTCCCCCGCTGCAAACAAGCTGGAAGAAGCGTGGCCGAGCGCGTATCATCTTGTTTCTATGTGTCTTCGCCTGATCTTCCTGTGTATGTATGTGTATGTATGGCGGTGCGATGCCAACCACGCACAATTGTTCTTCTCTGTTGGTGCCCGCCTTGCCGTGGCAGAGAAGCTCAGTACCATGCAGAAGCATGGGAAGCCAAGAGGCGTCTTACCCCATGTTGCTGGTCTCTTGTTGTTGAAGTCTAGAGTAGTAAGCTGCGTGCTCTGTTTGCTGGTCTCTTGAAACAGCTGGCAGATCTGCTACACCGACATGCATGAAGGCACGGCGTGCAGACCTATGAGACGTGTGTTGGTGTTGGTGCTGGTGTTGTCGTTGTCGTTGTCGTTGTTGTTGTTGTCGTGGTTGTTGTTGTTGTTGTTGTCGTGGAGTAGTAGTACTAGTAGTGTGATAGTAGTGGTAGTAGTCGCAGTAGCAGCAGCAGCCGCAGCAGCAGCAGCAGGAGGAGGAGGAGGACGAGGAGTAGTAGTAGTAGTAGTAGTAGTAGTAGTAGTAGTAGTAGTACTGGTACTGGTACTGGTACTGGTACTGGTACTGGTACTGGTACTGGTAGTAGTAGTAGTAGTAGTAGTAGTAGTAGTAGTAGTAGTAGTAGTAGTAGTAATAGTACTAGTACTGTAATGGTAGTTGTGGTAGTAGTAGTAGTCGTCGTCGTCGTCGTCGTCGTTTTAGTCCCCCCTCTCACCGTAGCAAAAAACACCGGTTACCATCGCAGAAAACACCGGTTACCGTCGCAGAAAACACCACCGTCGCAAAAAACACCGGTTGCCGGCGCAAAAACACACCTGGGACAGTTGCAAAAACACTCCCGAACCGACGCAAAAAACACCGGTTCCAAACCGACGCAAAAAACACCGAACCTAGTCACCGTAGCAAAAAACACTGGTTACTGACGCAAAAAACATGAAGCCCAAAATTTGATGTCTTGATCTGCAAACTCTCAACATTTGGTGAGGGATGCAAAGGTGGCCAACGCCCAGGGCAAAGGCTTTCTGGGCCAAAACACCTCGAATACTTTGTAAATTTGGGTTTCCCCACTGTCGGTGTGCCAATTTTGTTTCTTGGTTGTGCTACGCTGGTACACCTGGTATGGAAACCGTGCTTCCCACTCCAAGCTTTTCAGTTTTCACAGCCGTCTCTCGAAACTGTTTGTCATTGAAGGAACATGGCAGCCAAAGGGCCATGTGTTCAGCTTAAGCACAAAGAGTAGAGTCCCCAACAGGTGCCCCAAACCCTAACCCCCAGTCGCTGAATCAACCGATCGATGAGGCTGTCTTCTACAATCCGAGACGCAGCTAGTTCATCTTTCACACGACAAACCTGCCGATGCCTAACGTTGGTCGACTTGGAAGACTTGCGGCGGGCCAAAGGGCTGGCAGCTTCAAGGTCTCCAATGAACGCAAACTGGTCTTCGAAGCGCTCTTCGCGGGGGTAAGGACCTGAGTCGGCCGTCGAAACAAGCTGCTTTGCATACGATTGGTGAATGAACCATCGAAATGAGCACCGTCCAAAATGGGACTATTCATTGGGAGTGAGTCTGCTGATTTGAGTGATATCATTAAAAGCATACAAAAGCAAGGGGCATGTTCTGTCATCTGGATGAGCTGTGTCAATAACATGTGTCTAGATTCTAGATCTCACAGGTTCTTCATTGCTGAGGCAAGTTCAAACCAATGTTACAATGTCAAATGATCTTCAACCAGTGGGTGAGTCTACATATACATCCTTGGCTGGCATATACGTGTGACATGACATCTAAGGGGAAGGGGTTTCACTTTGGAACCTTCAAGAAGATAACAAAAATCCTAGTGGCGTATTTTTGTGTATTGCATATATTCAATATACTGTATGTATCAAGGTGTTTGCAGGCTTCGTGCACCCGCATTCTTCCACTCGGCAAACAAGTCTATCAAGGCGAGGCTATGGACCGGGATCGGTGATTGGTGCTCAGGATCATCGATTTGCAGATGGAACGGCGAGAAAGATACATGAACGGCGGTGCCTGTTTTCTGGGTTCAAGAATTACTGTATGAACTATGGTAGAGCGATCTGACGATATGATTTGTATTTCATATGTATATACATTATATTTGAGAGATACTACTGTATTATGGACATTCTCAAATCAAGGTATATATATATATTGTAAGCTCTCCGAGGCTCATGCCATAGTGAAGGGCTCCTGAGCCGTCGGACTGGAGCTGTCTCCAAGCACCCGGATCCTTGAAGAGATTTTGGCCCCTGGCCTGGGGCGGTCCAAATGAATCCTCCAAGACCACCAGGTAGAAGAACATCATCAAGTAGTCATAAGTAGTCTTCAAGTATTCCATTGCTTTTGTCAGTTTTTGCAGTTTCCCAACCGATCAAGCGGGTATGGGGTAGCTAGATCCGGTTCATCGGAGCTGCTCAGTCTGGGGTAGACATGTTGCTTCAAGATCGGCCAAAAGACCAAGAGAGAGAGAGAGAGAGAACAATATTTTTGAAAAAATACATTACTGCAATTACTGCAATGTGTATCATTGTTAGAAATGATCTGTACACTTTCTGGACCCTGTAACTATTGGATGTTTAACTAACTATTTATATAAGCGTATCGTTCACTAGGGGTCTGATAGCTACTAATCAACCAGGAAGCAAACTACCTTTGAGGGTTCAAGTAGCACACCCGCTGAAAGTCAAGCTTCATGTGGTCTCCAAGCATCACTTATTGGAGAAGAAAGCGTTTAGAATATGGGTACACCTGGTCACACGCAACAAACACCCTACTGAAAGGAATAAGACTAGGACTAAACCCGCCTCTGCCCCTCCGTCCTTGCGGCGTTTGAGCGGCGTGCTAAAGGCATCGCCTGAGCCCTCCTTCTCGGCGGCCTCACGGTGACGGGTCACATCCGAGTGACGTCAGCCAGTGACGGGTGCGTCACGGACGAAGGGGTTGGCGAGAATGTTGAAAGAAGCGACTCATATATATATATATAAATATAATATATATGTTCAAGTGGACCTCAAAAAACATGTTCCAATTCATGGGATCGCTGGAGTTGTTCGTTCACATTTTTCTGATCTGAGTGATACATATTATTTATGGTGCCTGACCCCTCTTGGATCTGATCAGCTTCGATCTGACTTTCCTTCCCGGTCGGGGCCAAGCTGCTCGGCCATAAGGCTCCGTTGAACTGCTGGGGGACGGGGACGCCTACTTTGGGCAGAAGGATTGCCAAAAAACTCAGCGTTTCAGCTGCACATCATTCTGAAACGTTTCTCTCCAGCCTCGGGGCGATGACACAAGAGAGCCCACAACGCGGCATCCAGCGTCTCGAGACAAGGTGGAGGCACCTGAAACGCAGTGCAAGATGGTGGTACTGTTTGACAAACAGTGGCACGTTGAATCCTAATGTTTTTGTTGGCAAACACAACAAAGTATCATTATATATAGTATAAAAATATATGCAAAATAATGCAATTGTTTTTTGTTACATGTCTGAGCATGTCTGAGTTGTGTAATCAGTGCTGTCCCTTCTCAAACTAAATCAACATAAATCGCAAACCATATACGTATACTAAAGGCCATAAACATCGACATCTGGTTGTGCTTCTGGCCCAGCTACCCTCCAAGCCTCAACATTGTCGTAGACGTGACGTTTGCAGGGACAAACAGTGGCAAACTCATTGGCCATAGTCCAACAAAGACATGTCTGTTTGTCGTGTAGAATCCAAGTACACCCATCTTTGCATCACCTGAATGGGTCAGTACCTACCCGTTCGAACTCACTAATAGCTAGCCTCTCAAACTTTCCCCGCCTCTGGTTGACGTCCCTCCCACCAGCTTGCCAACGATGCTCTTGCTTTGGTATATAGGTGCTACCCGACTGAAAACATGTCCCTCACGAAACATGGACAGTTCCTACGAGTTGAAGTGAACACGATGCCCGCTGCGCGCAGGGATTCTGATCTTCGGATCTGTGATGAAACCCCGGTCGAAAAGATGCGACATGCGACCTGCCGCTCCCAGGGTTTGGCCTGTGGGCGGAAGTCCTGCAAGAAGGGAATGCAGCCAGCTTCATGAAGCCTCCCGCATCCGCGCTGAGAGGGACTGAAGATGATCATTCCGTGTGAAGAGTGTGACGTATATAGCAATATCATGCAATATCAAACAACAATGCTTTTGCAGTGGGAGCATACTCTTTCCGAGTTTTGCTGTTTTGGTGCTTGTCCTCTTATTTGGGCAAATAGTGACAAGGAGCCAGCTCATAAAGTGTATTCTGCCAACGGCTCAATCTTGAGAATTCTTAAATAATTATGCACTTCCCGCTCTCTGCAATTGCCAACCAACAGCGATGGTGAAATCCTCGCTGCAATGCAACAAATGGATCAATCTGTGCATGCACAAACTATGCCCTCAAATCTTTGCAACAACGCCTTTCACCTGAGGCATATGTACAGTACTGAGCCATGGATCTTCCCACGTGTAAGGCAAGAACACTTACTACAGCTATCCCAATCTTCTGGAGCACTGGAACGTTGCCTCTGGAAACTGACTTGATGTGCGCCTGGTTGTATCCTGACCGTGAGCCAAGCGCCCCAGAAGCTTCAAGGCAACGTTGAGCAGTTCAGGTTCTGAGTCCTGGGCCCCACGATGCCCTTGCAATCGGCAGAATAAGGAACCCAATCAATCAAACTCACAATGTCAATGTCTTTCAGGAACACGTGTTGTGTGGATGACTGTGGAAATGAGTATCGTCCTGGACATGTTGCTAAATGTGAATGGTATCCTGGCAAATCAAGAAGCCGTGTCTGGCAAAAGGAAATGTGCAAAACAACTCACAAAAGAAAAGGCAAAACATGAGAAACTCGGTGAACAAGCAGCCAGCAACAGTGAGCTGCGCCCCAAGTTGAGCCCTTTGGCCGCGAAACCCACGAAGGAACCGAGGCGAAGGAGATCGAGGCGAAACCGAAGCATTTTCACGATCGGGTCGGGGGTGGGTGATGGATGACACTGATTCACCAACCTCGATTCACCTTTGGTTGGGCCCATTTCTGGCCGGTTGGGCTGTTGGTCAACCCCAGTTCATCACGGAAATCCAGGTAAAACTTCCAAGATCGGGGGGGCGTTAGTCGTGTTTTTTTAACCCCCGGATGTTCCTCTCGTGCATCAAATTGGATGATCGGCAGTCCTGCCGGTCGTTCAGCCAATGCAGCACCAGCTGTGGCAGGCCAGGGATCTCCAAAGCTACCTCAACGGTCTGTCGATGACGATCTTAGGGAACTTGAGGCTCCACTAAGCCGACTGTTCAAAGCCAACATGATTGTGATTATCGTTCCGTACTCAAGGGAATGCAACAGGATGATCGTCCATCCTCATTTACCAAACATTGTATAGTACAAACTGAATGGCCATAGCCATGGACCATGCCAACAAACAAAAACAGCAAAGCTGTCACAATAAGCGACTGCTTGTTGCCCACCCACCATCAACCGTGATGTGATGCAAGACCCCAAAACAAAACGTACTGATAGTACTAAGCAGTCCGAAACAAAAACAACATAATTAAACAAAAAACATCCATTAAAAAAGGTCCAACAGTTAAAGAGATCATGCTCCCCTCATCGAAGTGGGGCACATCCCAACTTACTTGTCTATCTTGAGTTGAATTCGCACAGCCTCAGGGACTGGCGTGATTCCGCTGTGTAAGATATTTGGAATTGGACTTTTGGATTCACAATTCTCAGATCCCTGGAACTCCGGAATCCGGCTGGGGCGAGCGATGGAGTGCCTCAGGCGGCAAGATGCCCAGCTCCAGCTTTGAGCCGAGAGCCTGCCATCGGTGTCGAAGCGAACTTGGGAAAAACCAGTCCCGAACTGGTTGCGATCTAGCTGCGATCTATAGCTATCTGTAGCATTTTATCCGGTGAAATCTCATTGGACATGTGCACAAACTGAGAGAGGAACGTACATGAGAATCCATTGGGTCCTCTTTCATGTTGAAACTTGAAAAACACCTGATCCTCTCGACTTCTTTAAGGTTTTGTATACGATGTTCTGTTCTGGTTGGAGTTTTCAAAATTGTTTGAACTACTACACATGAAAGCAATATTTGGATTTCGTCTGTATGGTCTTCCTACTACGAGTGAAGTTTGAAAGTCCCTGGTTGTGAAATGCACTCACTCTACCATGCAGTACCTATTGTTGCATACTCGTTGCAAATAGTCCCTGGTTAATCATCCCACTCAACCCGGCTGGCTGATGCATTTTCTCTGCAGTTGCAAGGAACTCTGGTGGTGTGGTAACACCTCTGACTAAATGAACTGACAAACAGCAAATCAAAGTGATCTAATGTAATTCAGTTGCACCTCCCATACATCCCTCAATCATCCGACAAGGTGACTCGTTTGGACATGTCAAATGTATAGATCACCTGTGACCCAATGGGCAACGACTTTAATAAGTCCAGCATACAGTCCAATCTTGTACCCAAGCAGCTTGTAAACAAAAGTCCTCCAGCCCAGCATTCGATTTCGCCACACCTTCTTGCCCTGAAACATCGGCTCCGCTGAAGCCTTCAGAGCTCTGTCTCGGATCTCCGGAAGGCGCTTGGGCGAGAGCTTCGCGGCCTCGACCCCCGTTTTCCACTTCGTCACATCCCGATCCGGCCCGTTTGTGGGTTCATAGTTCGATGTGAGCCAAGTTGCGTCTGGAATCAAAGAACATTTAGATGGTTGTTGGATGGCCATGTTAGGTGTATAGACATCCAGAACATGCTCTTGAGTATTTCTGTGAAAAAGGAATTCGATTGATAGAATCATAGACATCAGCTGCATTATACGTCTAAGTATGCTAGGCTACCATCTACATTTTACATGCAGCACATGGAGGACGTTCCAAAGACACAAAGCACGGTGGCATCGATTTTCATATAATCCCCACACACACACACAATTCCGGCATCCAAGCGGGTATTGTTGTGTTTGTTTTGCCATGATGATACGTACAGGTCTAGGAGGTTTCTCGTTGGGTCTAAAAGCATTTCAGCTTCAACGATTGGAGTCAGCAAATTGAGCCACAAGAAATCACTCTGACAGAAGAAAAGACGGGCCTTACGGCTGCCTTGTCCACCTAACTTTTTGATGGATTTAGGCCAAGGGGGTTTACACAAAGTACAAATCAACACGTCATAGCAAAGTGTCGGACTCCCATGATCTCCCATGATTCTTCATGTATTCCCAAGATATCCCAAGTGGTGGATTTGTATATGTGCGATCAAATATCACTGATCATTGCCCGTATACATCTGATTTGGTCGAAGTCGTGACATCCATGATTTGAGCTCCCCAACCAGCTCAAGACCTGCGAGCAGGGCAGGGCGGGCGGCGCGGATGGAGGAACATCGGAAGTGTCACGACATTCGATGTTTGCTCATCTCGGACTGGGCCAATAGCAAAACCGTCATTAGGGGCGCTCCGATTATTTTTAATGGAAAAACGACCTCCGTTTCTCAAGGGACTTTTTTGCAAACCAAATTATAACAGTGCTGATCAGCTCCATTAAGTTAATTGAAGTTGGACACCCTTCCACTATTTCCAAGCCTGCTGTGTGGCTGCTCGACATTGTTTCCGGTGCCATAGCATCGACATAAGCACGTGTTTGCGTTCAGTGTAGCGAAATGCACAGGCGAGTCCCGTGTGGCGGCATTCCTCATGTCTCCGAACTAGTAAGCCACTGATCCTGCGATTCTCTGTGTCGGATCCTGTTGTCTATCAAACACATTTGGACATAGGACCTGACTGACGGTGAAACCGCAACCAACAGACCATCCTACATTCACCTCATGAGCTTCATGTTGCCTCATCATTTAGAGCTGCCCTTGATGAAGGGTATATACACACTCACCCCACCCGAGTGTCCTGAGCAACAAACAGCCCCAAGATAAGGACCCTGCCAAGTAGAGAGGAACGGTCTAAGATCAAGCTCTGCTGGCCACCATCTGGATTTGTGACTATACTTAATCAACCCCGAATATGGAGACATGGACTACACAACTGTGTTTTGTTTCTTTCCCCAAGTGTGGCTTCTTACTTTTTACCAGGCCCTTCCCGCTCCTCGACCTCCTGCCGCTCCCTGCTCACACCAATTCCCTCACACCAACTGACATACACCAACTCACACACACACTTATATACTCACACCAACTCACTCACACTAACTTACTCAGACCAGCTCGCTCACAGCAACTTACTCACACCAGCTTGCTCACACCAACTTACAGTGCTCACATCAAACATGTGCCCATGGAAGCAAACCTGGAAATGCCCTATGAAAAGGCTCGTGAACCAGCGCTAGAGCTGCTCAGGATCTAGATCTGACATCATCTGACAAATCCTAGTCCTGCAGAAAGCTTCGCAGTGACACAGCTATGCCCTCATCATCCTCATTGTTATTTCAGTCTTGCATGTCAGGGGCCACAAAGGCCTTGATGGGCCTTTAGAGAAACACAAAGCTGCCGCAAACCAAGAGCGTTGGCGCAGAATCCCTTTCTTTGCAACGAACCGATGTGCGACTCAGGTCAACTACTCAGGATTGGAGCGAGCACCGCTCACTGTAGTTGTCGAAGGGTATTGTTCAACTCCTTGAAACAAAACGCAAACACAGGGACTTCAAGCAAGTGCGGAGATAAACGTTGTTTAGCAATGTTTAGCACAATGATATATAGTTGGGGCCTTGTGATCCCAAACATGACCTTTACGAAGTTGTTCAATACATGTCATATCCCGCATGCCATGTATGGAGCGGGGGACCTTCAATTTCATAAGCTGCGACCAAGATTCGGCTTGTTTCTGCATAAACTGTGTGGACCTGCCCGCGCCAAAGTCGATGAATGCAGGAGCAGTGCAGGAGCAAAGACTCGATTGGATGTCACCAGCTGAACAAGCTGCCTTGCAAAGTGCACTGAACAGCGGGGCGATGCACTGTCCACTTTGGAATCACTCCTTCAAATCCTTTCAATTTGTCGAGGTTGCACGGAATCAGGGATGGAACCAGGATGTTGCTCCACTTCTAAGACGATCAAACCGATGGTTGCATTTCGTGTCACACCAGGCTTTCGTGCGCCCTTGAGAGGTCGAAGTCTCCCTCTTTTCTGAGCCACCAGTGATGATTGCTAGGCAAAATGACTCACCAGTCATCCTCCCCTAGTCCAAACACCAAGCTTGTGTAGCTTGCGCCTCTGGTCGGTGGCTTCCAACCTGCAGAGTTGAGATCAACGAGCCCCTTTTAGAGCGCAGGGATCAGTGATTCGCAATGGGCAGATAGATGCCCGGTGGAACTGGCAGATCTGGACGGATCCCGGAGGCGGATCCCGGATGTCTGCCGAGCCAGCGGAACAGACATACTAAACAGACATACTACATTGCAGCTTGCATGCTATTATATGCTATGTATATATATATATACAATTATAATCAATTATATACATACTATTACAATAGACCGGTTTGGAGCTTACGTACAAACAAAACAAATTGCGCTCATCCTCTACTTTAACTTTGCGTGAAACGTTCCAAAAAGCCCATCCGGTCAGGTTCGGATTACGCCTTTGCCACATAGATGTGGGCTGCCCTCCGGACATCACCGAGGTGAGTCGTGAGAGCTCCTCGGCGCATCATGCCGGCATGAATTAAGACGGATCAAACACAACATCCGCAGGTTTGGTGAGGCAGTTGAAACATGTTGAAACCCATACGATCCAAGTTTGTACGGTGAGGCTTTTGCGATGCCTCTTCGGTGGCCGGCGTGCACACGGACGACTGTGAGGCACTGGCTATCCCACCAAGCCCTGTGGTGAGCTTAAGCAAGCTTAGCCGTCGCATGCCCGCTAGCTTTGGTGACTACATCCAAACTAACTATATAGACTAGCTCCCTTGGCCACAGTCCCACACCAACACGACACATGATATTTCAATATAGTTCAAACAAGCCATCTCAGATCTCAGCCCAATACCAGCCTTATACCACCTGAATCTCTCCCAAAGATCCACATGGACAAGCACTCCTCCAGATTCTCCCGGGTCTCATCCACCAGACTCACCAATCTGTCCTGACTCAGCCGAGAGCGCTTGACATTCCTAGCTTCAAGAGGATTCTGTTCGAGAGTCAACCAAGCTGATGGGGTCACATCCATGGCCCAAATGCTGGGTCGCCACAAGAACAACCAACACTAGCATGTCCTGTGGTCCTTGCTAGTCCCTCATCCTGCCTCGTCCTGATGGACTTCCCTAGCTGCTATAGCCGGTCTGACAGGTTGGAAACTGTGTGGTTCCTGGTGGTCACTCAAATGAAAAAAGAGAGGATCCACGCCAGCACTTTGTCGTCTTGAAGGTATGGTCTTTTTTGCTGAAGATCTCTCATAAGAACATTCACCATCTCACAGCACTGAGTCATTGGAAATCGAGAGGCCCCAAAAATCCTGCATTGATCTCCACAGCCGATGTAGAAGAGTCCCACATGCAGAAGTCTACGAAGAACCGTTTGGCTGTTGGGGCATGTTGGGGCATTTAGCTAGCAGCTAACCGTGCCGTGCCCCGGAAACAAACCTACAAAAGGCCGGTTTGCAGGAGGACCCTACCGTCACCCCAGCCTCAAGCTCTTTGCACTGTGCCGTGACATGGGCTGCCAACACCTGCAGTTTGGCACATGTCACAATGTCAATGTCTATGGTGTCGGGTCTTTGAAAGGCTGGCGGCTCTTGTTGAACATGTACATGTATGTTGAACATGCACAAGTATGCATGGATTCATGAGGCATAAAGTCAAAACTTTTTCGTACGTCGGTTGCGTCCTCAAATCGGCGCAATACGTGTCTTGAGCTTCCCACAAGTTTTGCAATTTGTTTTGTAATACTTCTGGGGTTGGTTGGTGAACAGAACATAACAGAACCCCCAGGTGAATCTATCTAGATCAGTGGTTTAGGGTTGACATTGAGTATGTAGACTCATTGCATTCGCTTGCGTAGGCGGGTACAATGAACACATCGCGTTGCAGACTTCAGACAAACAAAGTACAGTATATGCTTGGTAGCCATGTTCATCAAACGCTGTAGGATCAGGTGCGGATCGAATTACCAAGTCCAATGTTCGCAGGTGTGGACGGTCAATATCGGTCTGTCACACTTCGTTTTTAAAGGGCTTCTTCCCTTACGATGTTTACACTGCATATGGAAAAAACACACGATTGGAAATTGATTTCAAGTACAATTGGTTGCTGGAAGCGGTGTTCCAATGTGTTCCACATTCCACACTATTGTGTAGCTGCACAAGGCCAAGATTGGCCGTTTTAGCTGAACAATGCTCAACAATACGTTTCAATGAAAGTAAATCTGTGACCTGCCAGATGAAACCCTTGAAAGGATGACCCTAAAGGCGGGAGCCGACGGGAGCCCCTCACATACCAAAAACATCCCGGAATCACGGTATCTTCATCGAAATGGAGGAGTGGTTCTGAATTCAAACGCATCAACTCCCTGGTCAATTGAGTCAATAGTCAATAGCCAAAAAACATGAAACTACAGTAAACGTTAAACAAACACCCAGGTGGAGGGGCTGCGCATGTCTAAGCTTTGTCCAAACGTTGCTTGTTTCCCACCGAAGAACACAAATGATCGAACATTGAACAACTTTAGGCAAGAAAACTACTGTGCATCTTGTGGTGGAAAAGAGTGGAAACAGACGTACCATGCCTCATATTGCTAAGTTTGGGGTGATGTTGATCTTACACGATAATTTTCAAAGTTGCAGTAGCCTTTGTGCAAAGAGGGTCTGGCTTGTCCAAACACCTGGATGGGACAAAAGACACATATTTATCGAATAATATGACATTTCTCAAAACAATTGATGAGAAAGATGCCCACACATATTGAAAGGTAAGACCATGGCAAACCACAGAACTGCAAATTGGAGCAAGGCTGCTTACCACAGCAAAGGAAAACCTCGAGATAAGTTTGCCCCTACCCTTCGAACCACTTTATTGATCGCTCGTTTCCGTGCCTGGCCGGGGACCCAGGGGGTCAGGAGATCCGCCGGCGGCAGCCTGGCTGAAAACACGTCGCTGAACATCAACGGGGCTTGGGGACCCCCAACATGACACCAACCTTATAGCAAAAGGAACCTAGTGGGAATGGCCTCCAACCTAATAGGAATGGCCTCCAACCTATATAATAGGAATGGCCTCCAACCTAATAGGAATGGCCTCGAACCAGACCCAAACAAGCACCACCACGTAAAAACTCCCAAGGTGTGCTACACGGGGAGAAACCCGAGTTCTGGATGTCAACTAAATACAACACAACTTACGACACAGCCCATGATGGTGAAGGGATAAATTGGACATCATTATTTTGTTAATCCCTCTCAAAGCACTTTGCAACCAAGGGGCATTGAATTGTGAGTACAATATTGCTATCTGCATTCTCCACAGATCGGGTGGTAAGCTTCCAATCGCAACACACATTCGAACACACACACACACACACCAGTCGATTCACTCCGGATTGAGATCATGCTAGATACCTTCAAGATAGTGTCTCAAAGTGAGATCTGTACGTAGTGCCCCAATGAGCTTATAGCAACCAACCTGCACTCACAAATAATCTTCTCAAAGCTCTAGACAACACATGTGACGAGAAGTAGACAATTATTATTCCTCATGGTCTGCAAAACCATGAAATGGTTGGACATGAAAGTAGAACCAAGAAGACACGAACTGCACCCCCTCGTGGAACCCTACGTGCCTCCAAACCTCCAGGTCACTAAACATTTGCAGGAGGAGCTCCTTTGTGGACTCAACATCAGCAGAATCAGCACTGCTGTCTTTGGTTCTACAATATAGCACCCTGCATCACCGTGTGTAGGCGCCGCGCTACTTTCAGCTTTGAATGTTGATATTTTTGAATAACAATGAATAACTGAATAACCCAATTGGACCCAAGGCTACCATAGCTTCCAGTTGGGATTTTCAGACTGTGGGGAACCTACCAGCAAGAGATGACGCCGGCTACCAGCAGTGCTCCTCAGCTCGGCGACGGCTACCAGCACCCACCAGCAAAACGCCCTCATGCTCGGTCCTGGCACGGTCCGGAAACTGCGCCACTTTGCCAAACCTCCGAAGTGACCTCAACCGGTAGGGAATATTGGGGAAAAAGGTGAAAGGAGCTCAAGTGCTCCATGCGTATATAGGTTTCTTGTTGGACAGGTCACCACAGTCATTCAAGTCAATCCACAAGCCTCATGGGCTTGCTGCACCCTCCATGGCGCAGAACATGTCTCATGGACCAAAACAAGACACTCAAAAGAAGGCAAGGTACCACAAGGACGGACTTGGTTCTTACCCCCGTGTACACCAACCAAACTTGATCAACGGGTACTGCCTCTCTTCACAGAAAGTCTATCATAGCATCCCACACAACCTCTTTGAACGCTCCCAGCACTCGGAAAAGGGCTGCTTTTCCAACAGCGGCCTCTGGATACAGGAACAGCCCTGGAGATCTCCCAGGCCAGGCAAAGAAGCCTCTTATGAAGGTCACATCGAGAAACGAGTCACAGAATGTCACTGATTTCAAACATGCAAACCGGCAAACCATACTTCCAGGAAGAACCTTGAAAACATGCCGTTACATGACATTGATCCTGAGGTTTCAAGCGTCAAGACCGATCGAATCAGTTGTCTGCAATGTCTGCAAGATCACAGGATCATCCGTCCTCGGTCATGGGTTCGGTTGCAGCATCTACATCCGTCAGCCACCTCTCCCTGGGGCACCCACCAGGGCTTTCCAACACCTTGCCAGGAACTTGAAGGCCTTCGCGGCATGCCAGGGCTTCGGAAGAAATCAGTCGTTCCACTCAGGGTCGAGTGGATTTGCGGCGTCGAGTGGATTTCTCACCTTTCCACCACCTGAATTTCTACATGGCAAGTGATTTGCGCAAGCTTAGATCGTTTTGACTCCATCAAAAAAAGCACAAGTACCCATAACAAACACTCTAGAACCAGGAAGGTTACAGTACTGTATTAAGTGCATCCGATCTATGTATTCTACACCCAGCTCTTTGTGAACCGGAACATATAGCATGTGTCTCCCGGAACGGACCCTGGTAGCCTCCCGAATCATCTCTTGGTCGCGGCATTGCTTCCAAGATCCCAGTGGCCAAAGCCTGTCGCAGTTTCATCAAGTTCAAGTGGTGCCAAGTCTTGACAAAATCTACATGTATAACTTGTCTAGAACCACTGGTGGATAAATATACCTTATATATCGTGGTTTCTCGGATGCACTGGGATATTGGATTTGTAGCTTGGAAGTAAAAAAAATGAAGTCTACGGAGAAGTCCAGTCAGGGATCCCAAGGTGTGATCGAAGTATGTCCTTTTCCAATAGTGTGAGCACTGTGGGAACTTCGTTGTTGAAACCCGCAGCGGCGCAACCAGGTTTTCCGGCCTAAGGCAGAACAGTGGAAACGGGCTAAGGCTCTTGCCGAAGTAAAACAACTGGTGACGAAGCTTTCATAACACTCAGTTGTTCACCTTCCCACATCGCACATCCTCTGCCCTACCCCAGTCAGAAAAAAAACTGTGAACAACTTGACCAGATGTTTGAAAGGTTTGCAGTATGTACGATACACCAACTCATTTCTGACAACTAAATGGAAGGGATTAATGAATTTACGCGTAAGGTGTGCGTGTTTGAAGCTGAAAAATCCTTTGACACGTCCGATGCTCGGTGATTTGGCTTGCCCACCTGGCCTGGCCATTTCATGCACCTCAAAGGAATTGAGAACAAACGAAGCAAATCGTGCATCAGTCACCATATGCTAAACATCCCCAATCAATCCGTCGGCCCATCGAACACAGTCGCATGACACCAGAGTGGTGAGCCAAAGATGATGTGAGCCTGCAGTGGCCGAGGTTCTGTTCGACCCATCCAGCAGCTGTCGTTTTTTTCGAGGCCACCACGAAGCCAGGGTAGTCCTGGTCTGTGTTCTGGTGATCAGTGGATGGATGACATGTGTTCAGCAGATTTACCAAACCTCGACCACCCTACTTTCTATCTGAAAATAGTCTGCGTGAGGAGATATGTGGATGCAGACTGCTCTGGTTGCTGGGAGTTGCTGGTTGAAATGACCCAAAGGACACCTCACAAGAGAATGGTTACACCTGAAATCGGATGCTTGTGGACTCTTGTAGCGATGCTTGTTGGACACCTGATATTGAGGTGAAAGCCACTAGTTTGGCAATTTGTAGGGTAAAAGAACTCCACACCTGTCCTTATGACATCTTATGACTAGAATCTTGAATCTTGAGTGACATTTAGTCCACAGTAACAGTTTGGTCGTGGTCCAAACCCTCCAAAATGCAGGTTTGGTCCCGGGCTCTGACTGATGAAGAGGTCCGAAACACTTGGTGTTCAATGACGTTTTTCGGACATGTTCGGACTATGGATGTTGTACTGTCCTTACGTGAGGACCGGTACCACCGCAGCATCACGGTGAAGGGTCACCGGATGCTTAAGGATCTTTGCTTGAAGAAACATGTTAGGCTTTATACGGCTTTCTCCCGCTTTGGCAATCTTTGGGGATCAAGGTGAATTGGATCACACATTCTTGCGGTGAATTGGCGCGCTGTAGCAGACCGGCACAAGAAGGACTTCTGTGATCCGCAGAAGCTGAACATCCCAAAAGTCATGCGGCGGGGTGATTCTTCACACCACGGCTCAAAGCACATGGATCTGCTTGAACCTTCTCATCATGCCTTTCCATCCAGGAGCGTCTGCCATCATCAGCCTGTCCTCAGGTGTGGTCCCCTTCAAACGGCTGGGTGGCAAGAAATGGCGCAGCCTCAGCACATCGATTTCCACCGAGTCCTTCCGAATCAAAGAGAGGTCGTCATTGTCATTTGGTACATGGACAGATCTGTTTGCACGAGATCGTGTTCCGTCGGGCTCTTCTGTTTGCACCTGGGTGTTCTTCAAGTACTTGCACGTAGGTTTAGAACAGTTTGAGGTGGCATTTAATTACAGTACATGCATGCCTTTAACACGTTTACCATTTACTGGAATCTCTCGCAAACCATCCCAGTAGTATCACCCTGGTGGAACAACCCTTCATAGCCCAAATACCATATACCATCATACAATCATACACCTTACCATTCTCATGACAACCACAGAAGCGTTTGGGTGAGGGAGTTCAATCCTGAAGCAATAGAAGCACCAAATCTGGGACACTCTTTGGATAACCACCACGTGCAAATCGAGGCGCAATACCTTGCGGGCCAAGAATAAGGAATCCTGGCGGCTGACCATTGGCGGTGACGGTCAAGGCACACCCTGCTTGACACTATAGTTGACCCTCCCACATCGAAAAGCACACACCATACATTCCAAACGCCCTCAGTGATGTCAACTCATGTCTTGAGTGAAGTTGCTTTGTCGTTGGCCAGGTCCTGGAAGCGCCAACCGCGAAAAACCACACGTTTATGGGATCGTTCATGAGATCGGAGAACTATTGCAAAAGGCCAGGACGAAAGACTACCTGACACTCTGAAAAAGTGGTCAAGTCTGAGGGCAAAGAATCTATGTAGCACACAAAAGCAAATACATAATAAGTATCTGATTGAATTATACCAGGTGCAACATGTAACAACTGTTTGGGAATTTCAGCCTTGATTCTGTCTGATGAGCCTTCTGTTGTTTCACCAGGCTTAGAAGCCAGCATCAGCCAGCCACATGAACAAATTGCATTCCATAATCCAGTTCCTAACCATTGACCACCTTCACGCCCTCCTGCACCACTGACACCCACGCAGCCGTGCGTGCCCAGCCGTGCCAAAGCGCCACGCCCAGCGACCTCCGTTCTTGGTACTTTGCCCAAGAGCTTAGGATCCAACCTGATCGGCCACCAGGTGACTCAGGCGGTCAAGCATGGTTTTATATGGTTTTGTTCTGCTTCTTTCTCCTGGAAGACGGCGATTCCAAACCTTTGAGATGGTAGGATGGCCAACATGCCAAATCGTGGACGAGGTCTCCTTGAAACATGCGTTGAATTCTATTGGTTCACGTTGATGGCATGGCGAGAACAGTCAAGTTGTGTCACTTGGTCGAACGGTGCTTATCCGAAACCAAAAAGAGGATAACGATTCCAGCGCAATGATTGCAGGTGGATTCAACGATCCTTTGAGGTTGCTAGAACAGAACCCCGACCATTTGGCAAGATGGTTTGTTGTCCCGAAGCTACTACAAGTAGCCTACGACCACTAGCTCACTACAGTCTAACTGCTCGAACCGTCTTTTCACAAGGCCAGCACCGCACCGGTCTGAGGCGCCAGTGGTTCCCCGCATGTGGTGCCAGCTGCATCCCACCATCACTCGTGACTCTTGTGGATGTTGGCATCCGAACCCGCCATCCCACGGAGAGGTGGAGGCCTCGTCCTGTTGGCTTTGCAGGTCGTTGCAGGTCACCTTTGAGTTAAGAGAAAACTTTTAGGTGATCAGGCATGCGGCCAGTTGGCACAACTCATCGAGACTTGATGTGAGCTCCGGATGTTTGACCCACCGTTGCAGTCATCAGCTGCATGATCACAGGAAACAAATTCAGAACAATAAACAAGTGCATTGCTCTCGATGCCTCGCCCTTCAAAGGACCCTTCCACTTTTGCAGCGGAAATTTCAGGATGGGAGACAAATGGGGGTAAGACATGCACTGGTGTATCCAGGAATAAAACGTTTTCTAGCCCCAATCAGCATTGGCATGCATTTGCCACCTCTCCCCATTTTCCTGTGATTCGCTCAAGGTTCCGTAAGATGGCTTCAATAACTTCTTGAATCTTGATAGCCCAAACGGAAGCAGACTCCAAAGAACGGCCGGAATGCTTAGTGGGATGCTCTTGCTCAATGGATTAGGCATTTGTCCTATCAAGAGGCCCTCCTTGGCCCTCCCAGAAAAAAAAGGCGGTATTTATGGACCCCGAAGATCAAGTCCCAAACCTTCATCACTGGAGCCAAAAGGTCTTAGGTCAGAATGCGCAAAGTGGCACAAATTCCGAAACCCCAAATTAAGCTTTGGTGGACATGTCACCGATATTGAACCACTTCCAAGTGCCCTGTGGTACCACGGTTCCTCCATAAATCCCAACGATCTTTGGGTCTCAGGGTTTGCGTAAGAAAAGGTCTGTATATCACAGAGTCTTTGTCCCAATCAAAGGTTTTCCTGTGATCTATCTTTAATCAATAACAATCTTCAAAGGTGGGATCAATCGCATCCGTACAAAGCCGCTGTCCTGACAAAGGAACCCACCTTGGGGGATGAAGCTGACCTGGAGAACGAACGCTCAAACGTCGATCATTGGCCAATGTTTGTTTGGCAAATGAAACACTGTTTGCAAACAACCAGCTAGTTTTCCAGGTTCCATGTCATTTTTTCAATTTCACTGAACAGCAAAACTGTGGTCCTAGCACGTCCTACCTACCAATCAATGAACTAATCTTGTCCGCTCCTTTATCAAAAGGGCTCCTACCTAGCCGCCTGGTCTTCAATACGTAGTGCAATTCTGAAGATCGGTCGGAATTGGAACTCTCGGGCTGCAAGCAAAACTAGTATCGGTGAGTTTCGGGGTCAGTGGGTTTCTCAACATCCCCGGCAACAAACACAAAACATAGGGAACAGGAAAGAACAGGAAGTTCCCCAAGCACAACAAAGAGCTCGAAGACGCATTGCATTGCTGTGTAGGGAGATCGTTGGTCCAGAAGCATCCACTAACTGTGAACAGAATTGACTATGAAACCTCAAGATTGAGATCTGATTACCTGTAATTGAATGAACTTCATGTACTGAACTGAACATGTTTTTGTCCTTTCAACACACATATGTATATTAATGTATATTATATCCTGAAAGGCTGCGTTCTTTGCAAAGGCTGGAATTGGTCCAATAGAAATTGAAATGGCATCTCTGGATATCTCTCATATCTACAACCAGATCTCCTATCCATCCACATCTATGCACCTGGAAGAGCTCTTCAGCTACCTGGCACAGCGCACGATGAAGATGACTAAGTCTTGCATAGCAAGCACGTCATTGGTTTTGGAAGGTCCAGCGTCGTGTTCATAACAGGGCTTAAGTCTCTTTAGCTTATAACTATATCGCATGGGCCTGGAACCTGGAACGGGCCGTGCTCAGTGTAGCAAAGCTCATCGCATGGTTTGGTACTCTCATATCGCGTGAGCAATTGCTTTAAGGATGAAACAAGAAAAAAACATCTCTGGACCTTAAAGGTCATCTACCTGCACGTTCTTATGTTTTATGCGTGAAAGAATCTTAAGAAGAGATTGTGCCAGCAAGTTCGTGAACCTATGCAGGATTGCTTTCCAGAACCTCCAAGCAAGGTCATTGTGGGCATGGCAGTGCAAAGCTGTTGAAGTGCTCAGTTTCAAACAGGGGCATAAGCAACAGCTCGAAAACACTTCTATAAACACGACGTACTGCATCCACGTTCTATAAGAACCTCCCACAAAAACAGAGCGCTGAACGGATCCATGCAAAATTGGTGACTGGGGGTATCAGTGTCAAATGCGGTTCTTTTTGCTGTGATAATATTTAACTAGATGCACTTGATTAGTTTATCCAACTAGTAAAAAGCAATATATATATATATAGTAGCATAGTGAAAGTTAGAATGGGGTGTCAATTCCCAAAAAT